GAGGGGAGGGAAAGAGCGAGAGGGAGGGAAAGGGAGGGAGGATATTAAATTATTAGAAGTTTATTTGTATTTGATGAGATATATGCTGCATAAAAATCATAGGTGGTGGTAATGGACCAATTCTAGTAAATGTAATCAAAATCCTATCACTAAGGGAATACAAAATAGAAAAAAAAAACAGGATATCCTAATGAACTGTTTTTTTTAATTTTAGGATATTTGAAATTAGGTCAAGTTCAGCAAATTTCAGGTCAATTTTTGTTTTCAGTGCTAGGGAAACTATGAAATGGTAAAAACAGCTTATTTTCTCAACATAGGCTGATGCCAATGGAATTTTAGCAAAAGATAAAACCAAAAGGGCTTTAGTCAGGATTTCAGCCAAGAAATATAAAGTTCCAACAGCACAATGACATACAGATACTCTTTGTAGTCACAGATATATGAACCTGCCAACAGCATTTTCCACACAAACATGAGCAGCCCATCAATCTTTAGGGCTCCTGCTGGAAAAATTGTCTCTCTTATGTGTGCATAGAATACTTGAGGATGGTTGGATTAGCTTCCACATCCTTTAAATTTCTTCTAGCAAAAAAGCTGGGAGTCTTGAATATATATAGTTGCTGTTTTCTTTTGTAAACAAAAGCTACAAAATTGAGTTTTTTATTTTGACACACAAGATGCACTTATAAAATCCATACATAATTATTTTACAAGGAAAAGATCATTCTAAGCTTCCTTTCAGCTACATTTAAATAAAATCAAATTATAAGATTTAAAAAATGTTCTGAATTGAATTTTAATGAATCAAATTTGCCAGAAGCAGCACATCTATGAAATTAATCTCTTGTAAACTTCAACTTCAAGCTTTACATTTCTCCCACAATGTTCTCTTAAATTGAGAAGCTGATCAAAGGAGGTTGGCAGCATGGGGAGAAAATTATTAGAAACACCTGACTATCCATACTGCCTTCTTTCTTGAAATCTGCTTGTCAGGATACCATTCCCACGTAGTCATCTTCTCAACTTTGGGGAAATAATAAAAGTATTCTGGACTTCAAACATTAGCATTTTAAAATATTTGTTTTGGCCACTCTGCAAGAGCTAAGAAGTAAATTGCCAAAGATTTGCTTATTATTCAACACACAAAATTTAGCTTTATATTTAAAAAAAAAAGACACTTGATATTGCATTGTGTTTCTTAGGCATTGAGGATAGAGAAGAAAGGAGCACCTTGAGTATACATTTGCTCTTAAGTATGTTGAGCTAAAAAGAACCATAATTCTTGTCTTAATCTTCTATGCACTCCTCTATACACATCAAGTGAAGCTGCTTCGTATTTCAAAACCAAGCATTTCATAAAGCTAATTTTCAGGAAAATCTATTTCAGTCTGTTGTTTGATGACATGCAGCTTTTCCAGCCAAAGCAAAAAAAGAAATACTCTTCAGTTGTTTGACATATAACACAAAGAAAATTCTTGCAGTGAATAGGCTGGCAGCTGGAACTGAAGCATACTGATTTCTACATTGATACTTAAAATGCTGAAGAGCAAAGGGATACGTTCCTGACTTCTTGTTTCTTCAAACTTTCAACTTTTTCCTTGTTATGATTAATTTTTGATTTAAAAGCTTAAGATTTGGGACAGTAGTATTTTTTAATTGAGGGAGAGATCTGCTCATGAAAGCAAGGGGGAGAGAGGTGCTTCTCGAGAATTTTTCAAAATTCTCTATGGCCTGGCAAAACAAAGTGTCAATGAAGCACAGATTCATATAAGGAAAAGGGTAATTTAGAGGTAGGTCACTTTTCAGAAAAGTGACCCTGCAGCTCTGGTTTCTTTTTAAAAAAAAAAAAAATACTCATTTCATTTTTCAAAATACCAAAGTTACAAAGCTGATGCTTGATCCATTTTTAAGCCAACTTACCCCCCGTCAATAGATTTGCTGTTTAATAATTTAAGTTTTAAATAAATATTGGTATGCCTATTTGGCATCTGTCTGTCACTGACAGCTCTTCCTGTTCCAACTACTCAGTCTCTCACTCACAGTCTGCTAGTCAATTCGATTTCCACAAATGGTAAACCTGTCTATCTCCAACAAATCTTTCTTTGTAGATCTGAATTTGGATTCTGCGTTGTCTTGGCATACGTCTTTCTCATCTCCGTCAGGAGTGGTCAGAAACTGGTCAGAGGGACTTGTCACCAGTTGGGGAGCTATATTTTCCTTTGGGTGCACAGGCTGACTGGTCACTGAAGCAGAGAAGCCTTCCTCAGTGGAAAGTCCTGTGTGAAATATAAGCACAAACTTATTTTGTTGTCTTTATCACAGATCACTATAGCCACTCACTCAAAAAGACTCTAGTGCAGTGTCTACCAATAAAATATATTTCTAAGGGAGGAATTGGGGTGGTGGTGTTAGGAATATAAGTCACCTAACAGGCATTTGGGTTAGAAATATATAAACCAGGATAAACATTTTAAAACTCTATCGTTAAGAAAATGCAAAACTGTAGTTGGGTGTGTTTTCTCAAAGGGCCATAAAATGGAGCCAGAAACCTGGGTTGTCTTAGTCTGAGTCTCAGAAGAGAGTGTGAGTAAGTCTCTGTTTCCTTCTGTTGGAAAGTATTGCTGTTCCTCCATTTTTCCTAATTGACTGATATTCCTGGATTTGATGTAAGCCTGATACTGAACTGTTTTTGACACTGGAATTTGTTATTGAATTATCCCTGGATTGAAAAACTGACTGATTTACCCGTGAATGATTTTGGACTGCTTATCCTGAACTTTGCTTAAACCTTTCTGGAAGTAAAATCCTACATTTACTGCACAGTGTATCTGTGTGCTATGTGTGTATTATTCAAACACTACTCTCAAATACGTCTCCCTGTATGCGCTCATTCTCCTAACGGAGAATTACCTCAACAGGGGGGATCGGGGGTCAAAGAACAATAAACACCCTTATGGCATCTTCAAGACTAACAAATGGATTGCAGTCTTTTTCACCAGATACAAAGGTGCCATCACACTTTTCATTGGATTTGCTGCAACGGTGTAATATAGCACCTTGTCTCAGGGAAAACACAAGACAACTCAAACTACTTTGTTTGGGTTTTCATGAATTCAGTCATACATTTTCTTTGGTTTGTTAATGATAATGTCCCACACTAAGTCTGATATTTTGGGTTCTTTGATGACATATGATACCATTTTCATATAAGGCCTTTCAGCCGATAAATAAGAAAGCATGAAGGTGTGTATAGGCATTCATGACATGAAGCCTTGAATGTGGTTTGAGTATCCTTAGCAGATAGAACAACTCATTACACAAAAATGTAAGATGAAGCTTTGTCTCCATTATCATAACAATAGGAACAGGACAGCATAAAACACATCTTCATTCAACGGGGGACTATATAATTATAGCATATAATTATGACCACTAACTTGGAAAAGCTTTAAATACCACATTAAAGAATTATATCTTCCCGAAGCTGGTGCTCTTTAATCAAATAGAAAACTTCCTAATCAGAAATGGAACAAATGGGAGGAAATTTTTACCTAAATTAGCTGGGGTACCACTTTTTACTCCAATCTTGGGACAAATGAGATTATTTAAGTAACACTGTTCTTGCAGGTTGCTTTTTTGTTTGTTTCCTAGATCCGTTATTTATCTATTTATGTAAACTATTTCTGCAGTGAAAACTGAAAGAGCAAATTAGCAAATCAAATAGCAGGTATAATTGCCATTTGCTAGAGCCCCTTGAAGAGAGGAAGGGGAAAGAAAGAACATGCAATTATTTATGTTTGGAACAGCAAACCATTTTGGGACTCATAAAATGATCGCTGCTTCTTTGACAGGTAAGCTCTGTACTCATTTTAAAAACTGCCATGGGGAAGTTAGAATTTTGAATTGTATCCTGAATATTATGCCTGGAGTTTTTAGAATGCTGGTGGCAAAAAAGTTTTGTTTCAATGAGCTTTGAAAATATAAAAGTCTGCCTTATGAAGAAGAAAACTTAATGCAACTGTCGGATAAGAGCATTTTATATTGGCTGCTGTGATGTTCATGGGTAGTTTTGAAAAGAATGCATTGCTCTGGATTGTTTTTTTAAGTGGGTTCATTTTTAGGACTGCTTGTATAAAAAGCAAGATGAAAAAACAGGCACAGAGTGCGCTTTCATTGTTTTACTGTGGGATTTTAATGTTTTTGTTTTTTTTTTGTCCTTAAAAATTGTTCCCTTGGCCAATTTTTCTGTAACAGATAGGGCCATGTAAGCTATTACCTTACTTCCTTGCATGCATGCCTGTGTGAAAAGCAAGGAAGCTATACTGTATTCAAGAGTTTGGAATAGACCTGTTATTCTCCTTTGCACCAATCTATACTTCCTAGCAACACAAAATTAGCCACCGTTTGTACTGAATGAGCCTTCATAAAGATATTCCAACTATCAAGATTGTTCTTTTTACTTCTATGTAGAAGTATAAGATTCTTAAAGAGCAAAATATTGCCTCCAATAACTGTATCAATTCTAGGAGGACAGACTTTATTTTGGTTTTCTAGTGGTGGCAAAATATCACAATTATATTAAGCCAAACAGAGCCAAATTATTGGATTTTGGAGGAAGGGTGTAGTGGTAGCATTTGAGGCTCATTGAAGTTTTTTTGAACTGTTACAATTCCCAGATAACAGGGAAAATTGGTATTTGGGGAGGGGCTTAGAAGGGTGCAAAGCTTTAGGATATCCCATTTGTTTTTGAGATCATACCACGTCCTCACAATGCATGAGTATATACGCATGGACCATAAACATTGGAGGCTGGTCTGAAGACTCTGACGCAATATAAGGACTGCTGAGGGTTCATATGCACTTCAAATCCTGCAAAATTCTTCTGAAGAGGAGAAAAGTCTGGTTTTATTCAGAACTATTGAGATTTAGCTCTTTAGATGCTACCAGTCACTTTATACTGAGTCGAATAAGATGCCTCTGCTTAATACTGGAGTCAGCATTTTGAGGTTTCACTTACCTTGAGGAGACTTGTACTTGCTCTGTTTGCCAACAGATTTTCCTGGGGTGCTGGAAGGAGGTGGGTTGAACAACTTCTCTTCCATGTTTGCTTCTTTGACATAGTGGCAGGACTTTCCCAGCAATACAATGCTGTTGAGTACCTTAAGTGATATTAAACTGAAAACAATAAGAACACAGGATTAGATATCACGGCCTGAACAAATTTACCTCCCCAGAGGCCTCCTCAAACTGATTATTAGAACAACACATACACAATGTGCTGTGCGTGTTTCTGCTGTGCATTAATTAGAAATATAGGACAAAAGTACTACATTTGTGCCAGGGAGCCTGGATTCACTTTTGTAAAGAACTTGATGTGCCTCCAAGAAGGGGCTTCAGATGAGTTTGCCTGCCTTGACCAGGACACATGGTTCTGCTTTTCGCAAAAATCTGGCTGAGGCAGATGAAGAACCACCACCCAGCCACCAGTGCTATTCTTAAAGGTGAGGGGGGAAGATGCTACTGAGTCCAACTTCAAGGAGGCCTCCCAATAATGATCCTGCAACATATTACCATCATACTCTAACGTCAACACCCTACAATAGTGTGTCAGGGGCAGCAGGGAAGGCAAACATGCACTCTCACACCTTTCCCTGTACTTCCACACCCAATAGAGAGGTTTGTGTCAGAATATTCATGAACTGGCAGAGACATGGTAACAAAGCCAGCCAATGAACAGCAAGGCAATAGATCAGCCAATGTGAGCTGAATTAGAAACTGAAAGTAAAAGGAAGTGTCTGGGCGTGGCTTATCTCTGTTCTCTGCTCTGAAGCTGCTGCTTGTCTTTTGCTTGTGTTACGTTGGAAGAATCTACTATTGGTATTGTACATTTTATTCATATCTTATTATGTATATAAAGAAGTTAATGAATCCTGCTGAATCAGTCATCTATGTGTTCTTTCTGGATTTGATTTCTGCAATAAATTCTAACAGTTTGTACCTGACATCTTCAAGCCAGCTGGATAAAAGTATACTAATCTGATGATAAAATATTCTATTTTATTATTTTTCATTATTATTCACCATGAAATTTCCTACTGCAATAGTTTTCCAACACCTGGAAATCTTAACTAAATCATGAATTGGGCATTGATACCAAATTATGATACCAAATGTACTTAGTGGAAAGTTAATTCCATTAAAAGTAGCAGGATTTGCTTTCAAAAATAAACGTTATGGTGGGTAATAATTCTGTAAAATACATTTTTCCCCTCTTTAGAAATTTAACCTTCTAGTAAAGAGTCGCCTCTAGATGAGATGGGCAGCACAAAAGTCCAATAAATAAATAAACTGGAAGCATGTTTTAAAGTGGGAGTTGACTTTTGCAAAGAGAAAATGAACACATTAGCTAAAGACTCATTGTCTAACCTTGGAAACATAAATAGGTGGCTTCAACTATTGAGCAGTTTTCAGAACTGCTCAACAGTATAAATCAATATGGATGGCTAATAAATAAATAAATCATGGCGTCAGTTTATTAATATGTGTATGCCTGCAAGTATACATCTTGTATGCTTTTGTTTCCTTTTTTTATTCTAATTTTGTGTACCCTTTGCCATCACGTGTTGTATTTATTTAATTAAAATGTTTTCTTAAAAGCTAAATGAGACAAAGTATACTTAACCAGTGGGATTAGCGATAATTGTCATGATGAAGAAATCTTAGTTCTAAACATTTTATTTATATACTAAAAGCTTAAGTCTTAGTACTTAATATTCCATTACCAACTCTGTTGTGCTGATAATCAAAAATGGGACTTCAGTGTAAGAACTTTTGCATGTTGTTTTTTGGTATACAGTTATTTGATTTGCACTTACCCACAACAGAAAAGAATAACACAGGAATAGGACAAGACCCCTTGGACTTTTACAGAACTTGTAACAACTCTAATGAGCTAGAAAGAGAAATAACAGGGATTAAAATTATTTCTGAAAAGAGATGAGTGTGTAGTTGAAATTGTTTAAGTTACTTTAAATATGATTTAATATTTAAGATACCCCATGTTAAATTATTTTAACAGATAGCAGTGACACACAATTTTATTTCAATAACATACAATAACCCATACTCTAACCTAGGACAGAGGGTCATCTCAATTTAACTTGAAAATCTTGTTCGCCAAGTCCACAATTACAGTATAGAGTTATCCAATTTTTAAAATTAAGAGTCAATATTATTTTATTTTTATGAACTAACATGCTCAGGGGAAATATTATTTCATCCTTTGGGACAATTTTCACTAGCTACTTTGTGGAAAAAGATATGACTTACTAAAACAGCCAGTGGGAGTGGAATAAAGCCCATTCGCCTGGAAACAGAGTCGCTGTAATCTGTATATGCCTGGAGGTAGAGAGCAGACTGTGAAAAAAGCACTGGAACAGGCAAAACATTGAAGTAAGTCTAAGTATGTTTTTACATATTGCAAATTTATTTACTTTAAAATCACACTCATAAAGGGAATTTAAAGTCAGTTCACAACTGATCAGCAGATATTAGTGTTTCAGGGAAGAATTTAGCTGAAAAAACAACAACAAGAAAATCTGATGGGGTTAGTACTTTGAAGGGTACTTTGATGGGAGAACATCAGGAAGCAGTAAACCTGCAGGCCATCCTGAGCAGTTGAAGTAAATAGCAATCTATTTCTATAACTGTTGCCACAAAAGTGACAAAATATGTCAAATTTGTCATTAGGAGAATTTTCTGACACTTCTAAATGATCAAATGGAAGGCCCCGAGATCATACAAATGAACAGGTACAGCACTGAATGGTTTTAAAACTAGGATTACTTACTATAATATTTTATTCCTAGTTCATTATGACATAAATAGTGCAAGTGGAAAGGCATTTCCTAGGAATACTGGAAATTAAATTATGTGCTTGTGGCCACAGGGATGTCTTTGGAAGTTCAACTTCACACAGAGATCCAAGTTACATATGGTGATCTCTCAGATTGCAATGTTTTTTCAAGTTTCTTCCTAATGTAAAATTAAACTGCAAGCCAATCTAATTAAATGTGCACATTTCCCTGTGCTGAATAAAAGAGGATGTATAAAACTACAATCCAACACTTACATTTTTCTGTCGACTGCTAACAAAGTCAAAGGCAAGGCTGGCTTTGTATTCACTGTAAACCTGCAGACAGGATAACATATGCAAATCCTTTTATTAACCATTTGGCAGATTAGTAGCAGGCAATTATTATTAGAGAGAAAAGATACATAAATGTGCATATGAAAACTATTTAAAAATAAAACTATTTGGTTGGTTCAGCTGGATTAGGGATAATAATCGGGCTATGTGTTTGTGTCCTTAAAAGGAGGATAGAAGATAGAAGATAAAACAGATCCTGCCAAACCAGCTGTGAAAACTAGCTGTGAAGCTCTATGCAAAGCTCTCTAAGTGCAAATTTCATAAGATTTCCCTGGACTACCTGGGCTACTGAGTGTCAAGCGAGGGGATCGAAATGGATCCAGGGAAGCTGAAAGCGGTGCTAGACTGGTAACTCCCTTGCACCCACAAGCAACTCCAGAGCTTCCCGGGGTTTGCAAATTTCTACAGGCAATTCATTCCAGCATTTGCAATAGTGGCCTAACAGAGCTACTGAAAACAGCCCCCCGCCTCCTGCGAAACTGCGCCCAACTCAACTGCTGGCCTGGATGCTGGATTATTAAAAAGCATTCGAGAAATTGAAGTGGCTCTTCGCCAAGGAGCCAATTCTCCAGCACCCCGACCTTGAAAGCCGCCTATCAGTCCAAGCCAACATGCCAGTGGCAGCAGTGTTCCTCCAAAAGGACCCACAGGATTGGCACTTGCTCTTTGAGTGTTTAAGGTTGCAGACCCCTGCTCTAGCTGAATGGATGGAGTCGTTAAAAAAGGGCTGGGAAAACACCATGAAAGCACTAGCATAGTGGTGGCTAACCTTTTTCAGCTCCCGTGCCGATAATTGCGCGTGCACTTGCTTACGCGCGGTCATGTGCCAGCACCCAGAAGGCAGTGCCTGCTGGCCCCCCACGCCCCTGCGCATGTGCACACGACCCCCCTTGCGCAGTGCGCATCTCCGCATGCGATTCCCACCTTGTGCCATGCGTCTTTGTGCATACATGCAAGAATCCCTCATGCACCGCACGTCTGCGCATGCAATTCCTCTCGCGCACAGCACATCCCTGCGCATGCGCCTCCCGCGTACCCCCTCTGCGTCCTGTACATGCGTGCTAGATACCCGACAATCAGCTGTCGGGCAGTGGTACGTGCGTGCGCATGCACAGTGGGACTCTTCCGGGCAACCTCTCGCGTGCCGGGGGAAATGGCTCTGCGTGCCACTTCCGGCACGCGTGGTATATGTTTGCCAACACGGCACTAGCAGAAGCCTCAGAAATATAAAAAACCAAGCAGACAAGCACCAATCTCTCCAGCCCCCCTTCCGTGTGGGAGATCAAGTCTACCTGTCAACCAAATACATTAAATTGAAATTGCCCAGCAAAAAGTTAGGACCTAAATTCTTAGGGCCTTTCTCATAGTGAAAGTAATTAACCCATTAACAGTTCAGCTTAACCTCCCACGCATATCCCAGTCTTTCAGAGCAGCTTACTAAAGCCTGCTGTCAGCCCAAGATTGAGACCTCAAAAGGAATCAGCACCCAAGCCAATAGTGGTACAAGGGGAAACCCGTTATGAAGTGAGGAGAATTTTAGATTCTAAACTACATAGGGGTTGATTGCAATATTTAGTTCACTGGAAGGGATACCCTTTGTCTGAGTCTACATGGGTTAAGAGCTGGGACGTGAAGGCAGATAGTGAAGCAATTCCATGATCAATTCCCTGATAAGCCAAAGGGTCCTCCTGGAGGGTGAGGGGAGAGGTGGTTAGGGACTGACTGAATTAACCTCCTATGTTCCTCTCGTTCCAGGATACAATCATTGGCCGGGGGGGGGGCTTGGAAAAATGGAAAACTTTGCATTGGTAGGATCAATGGTAGGAAGGCTTGCAATTATAAAAATGAATATGTTGCTGAGGCATTTGTTTCTATTCCAAACGATCCCCATAAAGATAGGGGCCTCTGGGTTGATCCCACCATGGGTTTTAAGAGGCTACTATGGAATACCAAGTGTATTTTCCCTAACAATCGGGACAACTTCAGTTGCACTGTGACTGGGGTGATGACCTTTGCTATGGGGAATGGTCCCATGAACTTTGGCCCCAATTTCTTGCTAGGGAGTCTTAACCTCAAGTATTTGGTGGAGATAAATTTTCTCCCCCACCTGGAATGGCCTGGGTATAGCTGAATCTGGGACACATAATTCATCGTTACCCTTGACCCTGGTTTTCCCCCACCCCTGGGTGTATTGTAATATATATTCTCCAATGGGACACATCCATAACCAAGAGTCATTTATCATGCTCTCCAGTTAGACTTTTGTGCGGCAGAAACTTCAATCACCTAGTTACTATCTTTGAAAACATTTATGGAATGCAATTTTGGTTTGCAAGCTGCTGCACCGCTCCCCGCTCCCTTTCTGTTGGCAACTCTTAAAAGACATAGAAATATTTTATGAGTTGTTAGTAAACTTTGCATGGGAATACTCAGATCTAACTTTACTTTCATTAAGCTAGATCTACAATTTTGATCAGCCCAGAGACGTTCCTCTATTGTGGGGACTGTGCATGAGATGTCTGTGCAAGAGAGCGATCAAGAGGTAACTGGGGGGAGGCCAAACCAAGACCCCTAAGTGGAGAAGAATACCCCGAGTAGCTGAGGGAGGCAAAGGGCTGCGACAACCAGCCAAAACCCCAATGGTTGCTGGGAGTCAGAAAGAAGGATGATTGAGAGGAGAGACCCTCCAAAGTAACCTTCACCGAGAGGAGCCAAGGAAGTTGTCGGGAAAAAACCTGTGCCGAGGATGAGGACAAAGTGACCAGACCACGATAGCTGCTTGTCGAACAAGCCATCAAATTCCTGAAGGGCACATTTGACAACCTCTGAGCATGTGAAGCTCTAGCTCAGATAGCACCAGCATCTGCTCACAACTAGCACAGGGCCAGGCAGACAATGATGTGGCCTTACCCACTACAGTGGCTGCTGAAGCGCCTGCTCCCCTAGACCTTTTTTTGACCTTTTTTTCTCAGCTCAATTATGTCCATAAGTCGAGGACACTATTATTATGCAGTTCTGTTAAAATCTTGCTCAGGAACAGAATTAAGAGATAAGCAAATAAAGCTACTAATTGTTCCAGTAAGCAGGTATGATTTGTGATATTGCCAATATTGGAAAAGGTGACAAAAAGTTACAGGTTAGCTGTAAATCTGAGCAGAAGGAACCAGCGATTGTTGTACGCTCTCTCCCATAATCAGCGTGGATTGTTTTTCCATGCTACAACATAATCATCCCTGTCTTTTTCTATCCCCCAACCTATGCTATCCGTTAAGTTTACAAGTTATTTTTAAGTTTTTAATATGCAGATAGTTCTCTCTGTCAGTGTTTCTCAATCTTGGCAACTTTAAGATATGGTGGACTTCAACTTCCAGAATTTCCAAGCCAGCAACTGCTCTTGAAAACACTGCTCCATAGTACAAAGATGGTGGGGAGAACTCAACACAGGGAGCCTACCTTTAGGAACAGCCCCAAGTATAATTATAATAATTAATTAATTTTGTAAGGTATAATTCCATTAAAAAAGAAGTACAGTATATTTAGCTATTTTTAATCAATGGGAGTAACAGGTGAGAAAGGCAAGGTAACGTTTCCCTCATTTCTTCTACAAAACATAAAGCAGATTTGGTCCAATCATTTGGAAATGTTTAATTATATACTTACATCAGCTGTAATGTCATTGAATTTGGTTATGAAAGCATGTTTCACAATATCAACAGCAACCTCTGATGCAATCACCATACAGACATCAGGGAATAATACCCACAGATGATCTGTAAAAGAAGGAAGGAATTCACAGGAATAAACTTGGTCTGGAACAAAAATAAATTACCTAAACATAAATGGAATGTCTTATTTTGCATTCCCCCCCCAATATATGTAAAATAGAATCTTTCACATTATACTTTAAATTCTCAGAAAACAAATTTTGTAGATAAAGCACTTATCTTTCAGTACAGAGTCATTAAAAGTGGTCAATCTTCTCTTCCCAGGGCTTGAGAAGACCTTGGGCTTTTGGAATTTTATAAAGGTAGTATCATAAAGATCAAAAGAATAATTGATTTAAATACAAAATAGGTTCTGCAAATTTCTATCTCCCTACAGGAGCAGATGTCCTTGTAACAAAATGTGCCATGCATTTATAGTGTTCAAGGAAGGGGGAACAAATTGGACCTGGCTACATCAACTCCACAAAGAGCATCATAAACTGGAGGTGGAAACCAGAACTAAGCCTAGTTTTAAATCTTTTCAAATGTTGAGACTAGAGGAGAAAGCATAATAGTCATCAACATTAATCATATGCAAGACAGTTGCATATTCTCCTTTCTTAAGCTGCTAGGCCTAAGGCTAGACTGATTTGCAGAGATCAGAACCAGGACACTGATGTTTGTTTCAAAGATCAGATGTTTTTAAATCAACCTGTAAAAAGTTTTAAGTGTGCTGCTGCACTGAGTGTGCTGCTTTTATCCCAGGTAACCCAACTCTAACCCCTCTGGTTTCCATCCATTTAGTTTTTTTAACTGCAAGCCACATGAGAATCTTCTTCCCAAACAGAACAGGGCCATGAAAATCTTATCAGATGATTAATAGATCTAATGACAAAGATTTCTTTCCAGCAGGTATCAGAATAAGCCAGTATTTGGAGTAAAATAATGTAAATAGTTGACTCTTTGTGCAGATTTTCAATCCATAATTATAAAAGCTAAGTCTGCAAATATTTAATCAGTGTGTAGGCAAAATGTGAACCAAGACCAGTTTTCTGACACTATTGGGGTCCTAAGTCTCATCTGCACAACAGTGAAATTGCATATAACCAAAAATACTGAGATGAATTGTATTCTACTGAATATACTGCATATGGAGCAGAGCAAAATACAAGGCAGAGTCATTTGTTATCATCTCACTAAAAGCACTTCAGTAACTTGTAATAGATGGAATTAAAATTATGTACCAGTCAGAACTCAAAATCTAATGGCAATACAAAGATATAAAGAATAAAATGAACAATAAATAAATATCTGCTGGTTTAAAAAGATTCATGGAGTTATTCTATACATAAAATCTCAACTTAAACCTAAGCTACTTATAACAGATGAATATGGAATAAAATAAATACTGGTTGGCGTGTACAGGCCAAAGGATGATAAAAGTGATTTTTTTGAATATCTGATGAATCAATTATCACCCTTTTCATATGAAAACTAGTTTATGTTGGAGGATTGGAACGGAGTAATTACACCAGCTTTGGATAGATCATCTACTAAGGGAGTTAACCATTCCCAGGGTAAATTACCAAAGACCTTTTTTGAGATGATGAACAATTTAACACTAATAGATTCACGGGAAATAAAATGGCTCCACCAGAGAACATAACTTTTTTTCAGAAAGACATAACTCTTTTTCAAGGATTGATATGATATGGCCTTCTAAAAAACTTGCAAATAAAAATTTAAAAGTAGATATGTTACCTAAATCCTTTTCTGATCACAATTTAGTGCTTTTGGTACTAGGAGGAGAGTTTGAGCTTCAGATGGAGATCAACCCTGACTGCTCTTTAGAAGGCCAGATCCTGAAGATGAAACTCAAAATACTTGGCCACCTAATGAGAAGGAAGGACTCACTGGAGAAGAGCCTAATGCTGGGAAAGATTGAGGGCAAAAGAAGAATGGGACAACAGAGAATGAGGTGGCTGGATGGAGTCACTGAAGCAGTAGGTGGGAGCTTAAATGGACTCCAGAAGATGGCAGAGGACAGGAAGGCCTGAAGGAACGTTGTCCATGGGGTTGCGATAGGTCGGACATGACTTCGCAACTAACAATAACAAATACATGTAGACCAATCTGGCTTCCTGCCAGAAAGTCAGCTAAGAGGTAATGTGAGGACTGTATTGAATATTATTGAATATTTACAATATCATAATGAGAAGTAGGCAGCTTTAATATTTTTAGATGCAGAGAAGGGCTTTGACAACTTAAATTGAGCTTTTATGTTTAAAGTGCTGGAAGAAATGGGCTTTGGAGAGAACTTTATTCAAGGAGTCAAAGCTGTTTACATGTCATAGAAAGCAAAAATTGTCATTAATGTTAATTTAACTAACTCATGTGAAATTCTATTTATCTTGGTGTCAGAAGTTTTGAATAGAGATATAAGGCAAGATGACAAAATAATGGGTATATCTATCAAGAGATAACTTTATAAATTGAGGGCATTTTCTGATGATCTGGTTATATTCTTGTAAGATAAAAAGTAACAGAATATTTGTTGAGGAAATTAAATGAGTTTGGGGCTTTGGTTTTTTTTTTTTTAAATAAACAAATAAAAAACAATAATGTTGATTAAGAATATGTCATCTCAGGATGGTGATACATTGACTAAAAAGTCAGATTTTAAGGTTGAGAAAAAGGAAAAATACTTGGGGTTATGTTGATAAACACAAATATAAAATTGTTTCAAAATAATTATGTGCCTCTTTGGAATGATATTAAAAAGGACTTTAAAAGAACTTATTATTGCTAAGGTTTATAAAACATCACTGAAACTGAATTTGGAAAGTGAATATATAAAACATTGTATGATTCAGTGGGCAGGGAATTTTGGATATAATCTGATGCTTGAACAATGGGAAAATATGTGATGAAAGTTTTAAAATTCACATTATCATTTAAAAGAAACATTTTATAAGATGATGTGTCGCTGGTATTTAACACTGGATAAGTTATCCAGAATATATAAAGGTATTTCAAATGAACGTTGGAAATTTGAAAGTGTTGGAAATATAAAAGTGAAGAAGTGACCTTTTATCATTTATTGTGGATGTGATAAAGCAAATAAATTTTGGAGTAAAATTCATATTTTAATACAGAAAGTTCTTAAAATGAAGATAAAGATGAAACCCTAAAATTTTCTTTTGGGTTTAATGAAAAATGACTTAGAAAAGAAAATTTGGAACTTGATCTTATACATGTGGATGGCAGCAAGACTACTGTATGCACAAAAATTGAAGGACATTTCGATTCTCACCATAGACAAATGGCTACAGAAGTTGATGAACTGGCAGAGATGGCTAAAGTGACTGCTTTGATTAAAGAAAAGTATGTAAGTATTTTTTTGTTGCTTTTTGTTCTACATGGAGACCGCTTCTGGACTTTGTGCTTGAGGCAGAAAAAAAATAAAACTTTGATTTTGAGTTTTACTGACTGAATTGTTTTTATAGAAATGGGTAGTTTATATTATTTTGGAAAAGTAAAATATTGAGGTTTGATGTTAATGCTTTTCTTCTACTACAACATAGAGAGTTGGAAGTTAATACTTTTTTTTTTTCTTCCTCTCCTCTTCACATTTCTTTCCCCTTTTCCTCCCCACTGTGTCCTATTATTTGCTTTTATATTTTTGTATTTTATTCTACAATCTAATAAAAATGTTTTAAATATGTAGTACAAAAATATAAAGAATATTATATCATTTTATTATAGCAACAAACAAAAACATGTTTGACAATTAATATATATGGGCATAAACAAATATTGCAGGCCCAACTGACAAAAGAAAACTCAGAACTGTACTGGTTGCAAACATGCAGAAGAGACCGTCATCCTGCAATGGATAGATAATGGCTAAAATGATGATGATGATGATATATGAACATATCTTGAGTATTTCATTTTAATGTTTATATCTAAAGTAGTCTTTACCTGGATTCCATGAAAATTGTTCCATATTTCTTAGGCAAACTATCAGTAACAGCACATAATTGGTGAATCTCTCTTTGATATCTAAAATAATGGTGATAGTAATAATAGTAATTATCTCTTAACTTTAGAGAAGTTTCCAGTTTCCTAAAAGCCTACTGTATCGAAGATCTATGAAGAAGGCAAACAAACCACTCAAAATTTCATACAGGTAGTCCTCGACCTATGACTGTAATAGAGCCTATCCATTATAGTTGCAAGTGATGACAACCGTTGAAAAGCCTTGTTTAATTACTCCCCCTGCTCTCCCTAATGCCACTATTAAACAAACACACAGATTGTTAAGCAAGCATGGGGTATCTCATGGGTGAGGGAGGCCTTAGGAGGTCCGTCACTCAACTAGGTCTAAAAAGGGGGAAGACAAAAGCTTTGCAAAGCCAAAAACAGCTCAGCAAGTGGGAAGAGTCCACCTAGATTATATTACAATGGCAGAGAGCTTTCTAAACAAGCCTCCATGCTTCGCTAATGAAACCATCCTTATGGGTTGGATTTCTACTGAGATTAACTGGTCATCAGGAGACTGAATATCTCTCATGGCTTTTTCTAGCTTTGGGAAAGTCAGCTGCCTACATGGCAAGCAGGCAGCAGCTGCAGGACCAGCTTCCCAAAACTTTTCCCTTGCTTAACTCATGCCCAGAAACCCACATTTCTTCAAAGGCAGTTGACAGGTAACAAAAAGCATGGAAACCTTTAAGAAACATTTTGCTGCCTGTCTGGCTACCTTTAGGACCCAGCTTCTGCCATGGCCGTTTGGTGCACATTTGTGCTACTTTTTCTTTAGAACTAATTTTTTTCCTTCAGCTCCTCAAGGCAGAAAGATTTTCTTTGTTTCCTTCCTTCCTTTCCTCTATTCTTCAGCCTGGCAATGACTCATCAAGGTAAGTAACTTACAGAATTTGCCACCCTCTTTTCAGGCATGCAGTAAGTTTAGCAACTTAAGTGGTTAAAAGGGATCAAGTTTGGAGGGGATCAAGATTATTGGTTGGGCTAAACTTTCTTCCCAATATTAAATCAATGGCTTTCAAAAAAGTTGTGACATCTTGCATGACTTCTAAAATGATAAATGGATTTGCACGTTCCAATCTTATAAATAAAATTAGAACTACTACAATTGGGCTGCAGAAATCCAAGTTCTTAATTTTGGGCTGCTGTTTATAGGTTCTTTGGATTTTGAAATTGATACAGCAGGCCAAGCAAACCCAATAAATATCTAGCTAAATGACATAGTTTTGATAGACAGTTGTATGTGTCAAGTTAATCACCATTTAGGTCTTACTCTAGCAATTTCTATATTCCCTTTAGAGGAATGAGATTTGAGAGCCTTCTGATTTTGCCTGCCCATGGATTTAAACACTTGTGACCCTTCTCTAAGTTGCTTGTGTCCATTCATACACACCCCAGATCACAGCCCACAATCTAAAATCTATACAACTCAGTGTCACTAAAAATCCACACAGATTTCAGATTTTTACACATAGAAACCAGCATGAATGGTTATCACCCAAAAATATACATACCACTGTTTGACATCTGAAATAAATTGTTCTTCTCAAATTTCTTGAAAACACTTCCTTTTATTTCCACAAACTGCATTTTAAAGAAAGCAAATCCCCATTTTAGGCAAATCTGGGTTTAAAAGAAAATTTCTACAAAACCAAGTTTTGACTTCTTCAAAACATCAATAGTGACAGATAAGACTTGCATTAGATCCTTCTAACACTTACATTGTTAGACATCATGATAGTAAGAAGTGATTTATTGTGGGAGTTGAAGGCTACATTGAGTGTTGTTGCTTGGACCATAATAAGGATAGCATGCAAGACTGTAGTCACATACATTAAGGAAAAAGAATTTTACCACAAAATATTAGTCTGAATTTCAAAATTCCCCTCAATAATCAGTAGAGTCTGATATTTCACCAAGCTCTACTAAACAATACACTCAAAGTTTCCCTTAACTGTTGATTCAAGCATGCAGTGGAACTTCCTTTCTTAAATGCATGATTCAAGTGAAATTGCCAAAAGAAGGGGTTATGCATGGTGGTGAATATTGGTCATTAAACAGTAATCAAATCCACAATATATATTTTTAGATTAGCTGTAGATTCTTTAAATTTATATATATTTCCAAATTGTTCATTCCCCTTATTTTACCCAATCATGAAGTTTTGTATTTCTCTTCTACACATTTAAATTTTCTAATATTCAAATATTCTAAATTTGAAAAAAAATAGCTAGAGCGGAGAAGAATTTGTCTGGTGGGATAGATCAGAAAATAACAACAAATGGCTTTATAGGCTGTTGCTGATTCACGAACCAATCAGACAGGGAATGCCTATTATTTGTGGCATAAATATTTTCATGAAAAATATTTGTAAGAAAGTTCCTGTGATGATAGTAAATGAAATCAAAGAATCAACAAGACTTGTAAAAGCTAACAATACAATGTCTGAGACAGAACTGCCCCAAGAAGATTTCACAATGGTCAAAAGTTTCAAGTAGACATTTACATATATGGATATAGTGGTGGGATTCAAATACTTTATCAGCCAGTTCTCTGCCCTAATAACCAGCTGGGTAGGCATGGCTGGGTGGTCATGTGACTGGGTGGGTGTGACCAACTCAACATCACTCACATTGAGAGGCACTTTGCCTCTCCTGGCCTCTTGTGACCATGGGGATGCTGCAACGGTCATATGTATGAAAAACAGTCATAAGTCACTTTTTTCAGTGCCATTGTAACTTTGAATGGTCACTAAATGAACTGCTATAAGTCAAGGATTACCTGTACAAAAATACAAAAAGCTTCTTTGCTTGCAAAAAGCTGTCCTAAATACCAATCATTAGAAATACCTGCAAGCCGGAGTTACAAATCAGGCAGGGTGCCAAAGCACCTTGAGGAATTAAAATAGTTAAAATGCAATGATAACTATCAGCAGCCAACTCTTGCTCATAAAGTGAAACTCTTTAGCAGAGAGGTAATTTAAGTTCTCTCTAACCTTAACCCCAGGTAAGCTCAAGTGTAAACACTTGAGATAAGCCTAACTACACAGAAAGCGCTAGAATGTAGCAAAAAAGCAAACACGGTAGCTGTTGCTTGTTAAACCCATCAATAAACCAGAACAAATAGACACAGTTTCGAAACAAAGCTGAATAGGGAAAATTATCCCATCAATAAACACAGGATTAAACCTCACCAAGCACAGAATTAAACTTCACCAAAAACCAGTGTTAGACTAAAACTCAGAAAGGTTATATAAACTCATGTTTCAATGCCAATCTTTCTAGCTAGCCAAGAAGCCTTGTTGAATGTCACTCATCTTGTTTCCTTGTCATTAAAAGCTTCTTTCTGGCAGCTCTGCTGCATTATTTAATTATTTCTTCAAAGGGCTAATCGTTGCATTCCGGCTGGAAGAACTCCAACAGGGGACTATTTCCTCCCAACAGCAGTGTAAAAAACTTAAAATAACCCTTCCCCTTTAAGAAAGTCAAGCCCCTAATAAAACAAAGCAAAGTACCAGCAAAGGGGGGGGGGGGGGGGGAAACCTCAGGAGAAGCTCAGGTAACAGTAAGTCTGGGCGTACTGCCAAGAACCTTTAGCTGTTATAAATAACTGAGAGGCAGTTTCTGTAAGCAGGGCAATAAAGATTAGGCTAGAAACAACACCTGAATGTTTTCTTCCTGCCTTCCTTATAGGATTAGCCCTGTAAAGTGGGGGGGAAAACAAAAGTAGATTTCTTCCAACAACTGGTTCTCCGAACTGCTCAGAAAGTTAACAGTTCTCCCAAATAGGTGCAAACCATCTGAATCACACCACTGTATGTATATCCTTTTCATCTCCAGATACCTGTGGCACCATAGAAGTCAACAGTGATGTGCAAATCCTTTGTAAGCCACCATGTCGTCTCCTCCCCCCCGCCCCCCCCCCAAAAAACTCATGCAGCATCTTCCCTATCTGTTCCTGGCTGTGACTGAATTGTTGGGCACGCTTTGCCTCTTTGGTCTGCTGGAAAAAATCAAAGCATCCCTATGTAAATATGTACACCAATGCAGACAACCAGGAGCAGTTCATGAAGTAGCTGCATGAATCTGGAAAAAATGCATCTTGTGATGACTCAGAGTATATCAGAAATATAACAAAAAACAAAACGTAAAATAAAGTCCTTTAATGCCTTCAACTTGTCTTCACTGTTTAATTGTTCACAGTGGAGGAGTAAACTATTTTCAAAATAACATTTCAAAGGACAGAAACACAGTTCAAATTCAAAGAGCTGGTAACAAAGCAAAAATCAAAAACAAACCGCACTGAATAAAGTTCCACAACAGACCAGAATAGATAATTGCCAACTTCAGGAAGATAACCAGGTACAGTCCATTGGAAGAACGCAAACCAAGATAAACCTTCTTTAGGAATAAAACACTAAATTGTCTCCAGCCTCTGCATGCAGGTCCAAACTCTTACGCAGATCTCACACCTGCAACCCATAAAGGGGATCATAGCCCTCTCCTCCCGAGTAGACCACATTTTACCCTGATCCTCTCCTCCCTGCATGCCCTAGGATGGATAAGGGATGGGCCTGGGTCCTCCTCTGACTGCTCAGAGTCAGTCTCCACCAGGGGCATGACACATCTGTTCCAATGGTCTGTTTATTGCAAAGCAGGTTTCTTGAAGGATTTGTATAACCCCAGTGGATAATTTTACTGTAGTACAAAAGTCATGCGTGGGTACTTTTTATCAGTCTTATACTTTATTTATATATTTTTAATTAAATACAGCTGCTACTTTTTCATGGTTCTCCTCTTGTGGCCTTATAACTAAAGAAAGTATGATACCAAAACAAAGATACCAATGAAACAATTTAAGTTACAAAACAAGTGAAAATGTTATATGTCAAACAAAAATATAGCACCATCAAGCCAGTATACCAAAAATATCCTCCCCCACAAAACAGAGAAAAGTTGCTAATTTTTTCGTGCAAAGGAAGAATGAGAGTACAAGACAAAGAATTATGCATGCTTATTTTAATATTGCGAAACCTTGGTTTGGGATTACTCATTTTATCAGCTCTGACAATTATGCACATGGCTGAAATGAAGTTTGGCTTTGCCTTCTCCAGAAGAAACTAATATTTTAGATCATAAGTCATTTAATTATTAAGTTGAATGCTTCTTGATGACATATCACAGAGAAGTTTGAAAATTAAGTAAGTAAGAAGGATGAATTTGATGGCATTAATCAAGGCAGCATTGAGGAAGAGTACTAAATGTTATCATATAGAAAGGCAGCCTATTAGAAGCAAACTCCGAAGATTTCAGTCATTACTGAAATGTTTCTAATACATGCCAAAATTGTTTATTATCCAACAATAATCTGTAAAGTATGTTATTTATAGATGGACAGGAGAGATTTAAATAATTTGTAAAGGCCTTTTGAAACAAAGTTAAATGAAGTACTCTGAATTAGGATTAGCAACCTACAGATTTAACCACAGCCAGTGAACAAGCTGGACTGTGAAAAAAAATTCTCACTTTAGCCACTGCTAACATGTGTTTCAGACAATAATGAGACTGGAACCCCTCCCAGCTGAACAGTTAGTCCTTTAGAGGAACAAAAGCCCTTCTACCACAGTTTTTTTCCTGCCTATGCAGGTCTTCCAACATAGAGAACCCCTTTTGAGTCTTCCAGGAAAGCTTTAACTCTCCTTCATAGTCCTCAAATCCAGTCAACTATTCAATGGTTCCCTCAATTCTCTGGGGTCTTTTGATGGAAAAAATAATTAGTAAGTTTTCAAGATTCTTCATTTTTATTTTGTAAGAATAATTCACAGAACCCATTAAAATAGCTTTCAAGCTTCTGTTTATACGGAACCTGCTTTTGGAAAGGTTCAGAACAATATTCGTATTGACTATTGCTGTTTCTTCAAAGGTCATACAGCTACCACATACGACCAAGGAAGGGAGAATCGGTGATGCCTAGATTTGTTTGTACAGAGGAATGAAGAAATTGCTTCATAAAAGTGCATATCCTAGGAAAGAACTGGTCCAGAGAAAATAGGCTACCGTTCCATTTTTTTCTTGCAAACTAAGATTTTTCAACTTACTGTTTTATAAGAGCTCCTTTGTTCCCTTATCAGGATTTGTTGCCTTCTCTACACAAAAGCCAAGATTTTATAGATTTCTGAAACTACACACACCCTGAAATAACACAAAAGGATACAGACATACAGCACTGCCATGAAGAAATGGGGAATGACCCCTATGTGTGCCCTTTTCCTTTCTTTTGGTTCTGTTGCAGTCCAATAGAGAGCATCCAAGATATCTTGTCCAAAAGATGAAAATAAACGATCAGCTACCTAGAGAGATGTACATGGGCATCAAAAGGTTATTTTAATTTTGCAGCTTGCTTCTCTTAAGCAAAAGTTACTTGACTTTAGGGCCATAATGCAAATCCATTTGAAGGTTAAGGTACAAGAAGTGTATGCATGAACTTCTGGGTTCAGACTTTTGAATCATTATGTTACCAATTACATTTTTTACACATCAGTATTTAAAATAATTTTAATCATTTAAGATCATTCAGAACAAAAACAACACAAAGCTTGTACCTATTATCTTGGTACGAAGTTTCCACTGCTTAGGGAAATCCAGTTTTTCATCCTTGGTTGTTTTTCTGGCCTAGTTCTGTCATTAAGCTTGCACAATCACTTTCACAATGGATTTCAACTCCTTTATGCTTTGTCTTGATTACAGTAATTGTTCCCTCTATGTAACTTTAGGACAAAATTCTCTTGTAGCTTTTTTGCTGTTACTCTGGATAGAATTATGCATTAATTTATTTCTAGTTTTCTACTCAGAGACATTAAATCTACCTTTGCTCAGGAGCTCTGCTATTTATTGGTCATAGCATGACGTTCAAAACACATAGTCATTCTTCGACACTGGTCATAGGTAGCACCAATTAGATCTATTCAACTTAAACATGCAACACAGAAAATATTCAAGAGGCCTGTGTAGCTGTGGATCAGAGGGAATATCAGTAGAAGAATAAGCTTGTAATTAACTGGACAGCCTTAACAGAAACTCTTAATTTAAATCCATGTGGAAATAATGGCCTCATTGGTTAGACACATCTGCTGAAATGGAGTACTGAAGCAAGAATATATGTATGTGAAATATTCAAGTCCATCAGTATAATCAGGAGTTGAGCAACAAAGCTGAAGGTTGGCTGAGGAATTGAAGTCCACATATCTTCAAGATGCCCAGGTTGAAAAACACTCCCTAACCACTACATCATGCTAACTGTTGTCTTTTTCCTTTATCTGCAATTCTGCAAGACTGTGGTCAAAGATGCATCTAGCTTATAGAGTTGTTGAAAAGTACTATTTTAGCACTCTCATGCATGTTGAAGCCTCTTTTAATCTTTGAATCTCTACACTATTTTTTAAAGGCAAAAAATAGAAGATGTATTCTTCCTAAATGAAATAAACGTAATAATTATTGGTCTCAAGCTGAAGACATAATTCATTTGTTCACCCAAAGAATTTGTTTCTTTTGAACATAATTTGGATAAAAACCAAGAATGAGTTCAACTTATCATTTGACCCTGAATTGGGTCATTGTCAGAATCATCTATTTTGCAACAGCTATGTATTGATAACCCTCTAAATCCTAAATGATTTTTTCAGGAGACAACTGGACTTTCTTGTTTTTTCTTTGAAGACATTTCACTTCTTATCCAAGAAGCTTCTTCAGCATGGACTGGATGGTGGAGAATGAAAGGATTTATACTCCTTGCAGACAGCGGGTTATTTGCATTCTTTTTAGAGAGTCTTGAGGCCACTTGGAAGTTTATCTGTGTCCTCAGGGTCACCTGAGCACAAATGGCTGTGGGGTTACAATGGCACTGAACAAGGAGACTTATGGCTAGTCCTTGAAGTTGTTATCAGTCCAGTGATTGTTGAGTGATCATGATTTGGTGCTTGGCAATTGGCTTGCAATTATGATAGTCATAGCATCCTGTAGTCACATGATTGTTTCCCACAAAGTTAATGGGGAATCCAGCAGGGTTGCAAATGGTAATCTCATGACTGGAGAATGCTGCTATCATGTGCAATTTGCCTATGGTTGACAAACAGGACTGCCAGAAATGTTGTCATGAGTAAATACAGTTACGTGAGACTGCACTGCTGAGATGGAACTCCTGATCCCAATTACCATTAAGTGAGGACTACCTGTATTCCTAACACAGTGAAAAAGAAATTACAACAAAGCTTTTATATATTAAGGAAGACTGGGTGTTTCTATAAGAGTTTTATTCATTGTTTACTTACCTCAAGCATATTATAGATGATGTAGAGTTTAATTACAGACTGTCCTCTTATCAGATGGTACATCATGGAATAATCAACATAGTGCATCATGAAGTAGCAAATTACAAGTATTACACCTTTGAAAATATCACACACCTGGGCTGGCTGCAGCAGGCGTCTATCGCTGAAATATAAAATTACACAAAATAAAGAACACATTTGATACAGATGAAGCCACTGATTATTAAATAAATCAGCCTCCCTACAGAAAGGGCACTTTTAGCCCCTGCTTGGGCTTCCTTCTTCTTCAACTGGCAGATCCCTTTCTGTTAGTCTAATAGGATGAGATGGTTTCTAGTTTTGTGACCTGTTTCTGTTTTAGACTTTTTGTACTTTTACTCATGCCATTTAGAGATTTGCTAGCCTCGATTGTACAAACTACTTGAGGCTTTGAAGCTGAAAGCTAACAGTCTATTAATTTTAGAAACATATGAAGAGTTAACTAAGCACTAATATTTTAGTGAGAAAACCTGTTTTTACAAATTTCATTTATACTGCAAGGAACTATAGTTTGAAATTTTGTGAATGTTTTCCTGATGGTTCAGAATCCATTGTAGTGTTTTCAAGAGCAAATAATTCCACATTTAAGAATCCTTAGTGTGCCCGGAGGAGTTTCTAAGGCTCTATTGGCTTACCTAAAAGATAGACCCAGTATGGCACTGTCACAAAGGCTAGGAAAGGAGTGATTGAGTTTTAACCATAGACAGAATGCAGAAATGTTCTTCTACCTTGTCCTGCCACATTGCCTCCTGTGATCTTCAGTATTAGATTTTATTTCAACTGGACTTCCGGTATTGACATCTTGGTGGTGCAGAGCAAAAGGGACAATCTCTGTCCTTTGACTCTGAATTTATCGCGATCAGGGACCCTTCGAAGGCGCAGAAAGTTTGGAGAGAAACGTATTATGGAGGGGAGCCCTGGGGAGCAGCGAGGAGGAAGCCAACCACCCACTGAAATGAAAGGATCTCCCTTGAACAGACTGTGACAATCTGACCGGTGAGAAAATCCCATATCTGCAGTGGATTGAATTGAACTGGTAAAGTGAGTAATTCCAAGAAACTTTTGGTTAAAAAGGAAGCTCCGGAGGGAAGGTTTTAACCCCAAAAATTTTAGCGGCGACCCGAAGGGAAGAGCTCTGATTTACTGAACTTAAAATCAAAAAAGCAGAAGAAATCTGAGATTGAAAGTGACTGAGAGGGGTGTAAAGAACACAGAGGGAAAGGAAAGAGAACGGTGAAAGTGAAAACGGGAAACTAGAAGGCATTAGAAGTGAGTGAGACGAAAGGAGAATCCAGTGACCCGACTTGACTTGTGCTGAAAGCAACAAAGTAACAGCCAAACGAACCAAACTGAAAGAAGCTGAAACCTTGAGATAGATCGAGAAGTGAAAAAGAGAGGTTCTGAGGCTAAGGCGGAGAGTGTTGAGAAAAGTGGCGGGAGTGGAAGAGAGAAAAGCGGGTGCTTTTGGTTGCTCAGAGATAACGAGACAAATGAAGAAGATTGAGGAAAAGCTGTGAAAGAAAGAAGAAACGAATCCCTGAATCCAAAAACTGAAAAAAAAGTGTGAACTATTAGAGACCCAGAGTCAATAATGAGTGGGAAGCTAAAAATACCAGCTGAGTCGGAGGTGGAAATGATCATTGTGAAATCAAGTAACTGTATACTAAATAGAGATTAAGTCTACTAGAGGAATGGTTTAGAATGAATTGGATCACTATATTGAATGTTGTGACTGTGTTGATTACATTGATTACAATATTTATATACATTTATAGTACTTATATGAATTCCAGTGATTGAAATATATTTAAGAGATAACCAGAATACATTTACGATTTATAACACCCACATTAATAACCACATTTGTTATATATTGCCAATCATATTATATCATATCTGTTATAGCCTATTTTGATGGTTTATAATTATTGACTATTTTGTAGAAAATAACAACACTGATTATAGTTAAATACTAGTGAATGAAATATATTACAGGTATATTCAATGTATATTTAACATTTACAATACCTGTATCAATACCTATTTTAACTATATATTAAGCATTAACTATATTATATTATCTATTATATTTATTAGAGCTTATATTAATGAAATTTAATTACTGATAATTTTGTACAAAAGTATATTATTGAATATATAGTCTATAAAATAAAAATAGAATAGTTAAGTGATTAAGATAGCGAATGCTATAATATTGATAAACAAAAAAGGAAGGAATAGTTATAAATCAGTAGTAATTGATTTGATCTCATATTAACATAATTTAATATAATTTAAGACACTGGATATAAAAGAAATAAGGAAGAATGATAAAAAGTTAGTATTACTATTAATAAAGTGGTTGCATGGTAATTTGGGAAAGTATTTATAAAATCTTAGAGGAGCAGAATAAAATTTTGAAAGAAATGACCAGTATCATGACAACTACCCTGAGAGCAGGGAAGAAAACATCATCGAACCCATCAGTAGTGACAGCATCTCCGTCAACGCAGCGGTCAACAGAAGGGATGCTAACTACAGAGAAATCAAACAACACACAGAATACTCCAACAATGCTATCAACCTTGTTAATGAGCCAAGAAACAATAGTGAAGCTACAGGAGACGATGTCCAAAAACCATGGGGAATTGAATAATGATATTCAGAAACTGGATGACAAGGTCAGTTCAATACAAGAGGCGATCCAAAAAAAAATGAACAGAAAATAAAAACGGTAGAAATAAAAGCAGAACAAACAGAAAAAAATGGAACAGGTTGATCAATGTATGACGGCAATGAATAAGGATCTGGAAGATTCCTCGATCCATTTAGACATGGACCGAGCCTCTTTCTACCTAAGATTCCAGAACATAACCGAAACTAAGGATGAAGATCTGGGAAGACTAATGGCGGAACTGATAGCAGAAACCCTGCAAAGGGATACACAAGAAATTATAAATGAGTTGGACAAAGTTTACAGAGTCCAAACAAATTATGCAAAACTATACCAATTACCCAGAGAAGTACACGTCAGGTTCACCCGAAAGAACGTCTGGGATATTATTTATAAAATAACAAGGGAGAAGCCCATAGTGTATAAGGAGAAGGAAGTCATTACCCTGAAACAGATACCCAGACGAATTCGAGAACGCAGGGGAGAGAAATCCACCCTGGGGTGGCTTGCTAATGTTGGTGGGAAAGTTGGTCCCATATGCCAGAGCTGTAGTAGTCACAGGACTGGCCGTTTGGCCATGCCGGAGCAGTTCCTCCATCAGGATGACTACAGCTCTGAAATATGGGACCATCCTGTGGTGGCTGGGATGAGGTAATGGTGCCGTTGGGTGGGGAGGAGTGCGGCGCAAGCAGGCTGAAGCAGCAATGACTGGAAGAAGCAGTACTCAGATTTGCATCTCCCTTCACTGCAGTATATTTGCGGCAGCTAGTAGTGCCAAGGCAGTCTCTCGTGTCCTGCTGCGTCTGTAGTGCAGCAGAGCGAAGCAGCCAGAGTGAACCCTAGTTCTGCATATGCTGAATCAGCCCCCTGCAAACTGTTGTCTCTGTACTTGAAGCGGCATGGGAAACTTTGGCCAGGCTCTCGAGAGACGAGAGTGACTCTGGCTGCTTCTCTCATCTCTCTCAAGGAGTGCACAATAGCTTGGCTGGAGGGGGAACCTCTCTCATCCCCCCGCAGGGTCTATGAGGTGGGCAGCAGGGAAGTGGCACTTGGGAGGAGCAGATCGGCCACTGCCAGGTTCCAGGGTGCGTTTCTCCCGCTGAGGGTGCAGCCATCAGGCGGGGAGGAAACAGCGCCCGGCTCTCCTCCAGAAATAGTGGATGGAGGGCTGATGAAGGAAAGCAACTCTCCTCTTGAGGGGGTGAAGGTGTCAACCTCCTCCCCTTTCTTTGACTGCTTCCAGGTGAGGCTGGAAGAGCCCTGGCATCCCTGTCCTGGAGCCCACATTTTCTCCCTCTCCCCTACCCCCAATTAATCACTGAGGGTGGCAGTCCTTCTGCAGGCAGCTGCCTGCTGAGAAGCCCCTGGAGGGGCAGCCGAGGGGCGCTGCCCCCCCAAGGAGAACTAAGCCCCTTTTTGACTCTGTTTCTTCCAGTGGAAGTTGCCCCGAGACCCCTCAGCTCAGATCCCCCCTGCTCTTCTGTTTCTTTGGAAGGTGCAGGTAGGGGGAGGGATGGAAGCAGCCCAGCCCTCCTTCCCTCCCCCAACTCCAGGCAGCCACAGTTGTAATTAAATAAGCATATATGTACTCACACACACACAATTTTTAATATTAAATTTATATTTAATATAAAAATTAAAATTTTTATATTAAATATATTATCCTTTTTTAAAAAAAATCATATTAGTGGTCCTCGGGATTTAAAATTATGAGTTTGGTGGTCCCTGAGGTCCAAAAGGTTGGCGACCCCTGATCTAGATAAAGCCCAAGAATTATATGATCAGTTGACAGGAACAGAGGAGAACAATAGTAGCAGAGAGAAGTTTGAGGAGGGGAGTCATGAAGAATGTCAGCTGGAATCCGAAATAGAAGATCAGGAAGATAAAGTGAAAGAGACACAAGAACTTCAGATTTTATTTCAACTATGCAAAATTCATGTTAGAGATACTAGAAAATGGAAAGCAGGCAAGCAAGTTCTTGGTATATTTTTCTTTGTTTTTAAAGAATGACCCTGAATCTGTGCTCCAAAAGCATGCTTTTCACAACATACTACTCCATAATTAAGGACAGAGGCAATTTACCCCTCCTGTTTGGTATAGTGGTTAAGGCACTAGGCTAGAAACTGGAAGGTCACAAGTTCTAGTCCTCCCTTGAGGCAGGCCATGAAGCTAGCTGAGTGACCTTGGGCCAGTAATTTCTTCTCAGTCCTAGGAAGGAGGTAAAGGTAACCAATTCTGAAAAACCTTAATAAGAAAACTGAAGGGACTTTTCCAGGCAATCTCCAAGAATCAGACATAATCAAATAAAAGAAAAAAAAAACTCCAAATAATTTTTGTCTTCTTTAGCAAAATTTTAAAATATCTAAGTTAAAATCAAATCTGATAAATACAAAAATGCATTCTAATTTTTAACTATCACAGAGTAGATTCCTATAAAAAATATTTGTAGAAAAACTAGGGAAATTCACATATTTTGGCAAATTTACTTCATATCACGCTCAACAGACAAAGCTATCCTAAATAAATTCTATACATAAATAGTATTAGTTCCAGCTGCTGGTTAAGTCTATATCTAGGTGCAAGTATGAACACCAGAGGTGGTATTCAACTGGTTTGCAATGGCTTGGGCGAACCAGTAGCGGTGATTTGGCTTGGGTCACCAAACAGGTGGCGACCCCTAGCTGGCCACACACCCAACCCGGTCACCCACTTGTCCCGGTTTCTCTCCTAGCTTTCCATATTACGTGGCGGCCATGGCGCAGCTCAGGCGGATGCCCCAGGGCTGTTGCACATGTGCACTGCATGTGCAGCCACTACACATGCAGTGCACATGTGCAGCAGCCCCGGGACATCCGCCTGCCTGCCCCCCTGGAGCACATTTTCTTCCTTCTCCCGGTGTAAGTGCCTCTTCCAGCCCGGCCCGCCAGCAGGTGGGTGGGTGGGTGGATGTCCCAGGGCTTCTCACCCCACTTGTCGCGAGATGCCTGCAGCTGCTGCATGCTTTTTTTGGTGTGGCTGGAGTCCAGCAACCGCACCAAAGAAAGCACACCCTGTTCTATGTGCCAGGCCCGGCAAGTCAGAGCAGCCGGTGCATAGAACAGGGCGGCGCTGGACCGTTGGAAAAGCAGATCGAAGGCGGAGATCAGTAGTCGCCTCTTTTGCAGTGCAAGAAGCCTCCCCCAACCAGCTGGCTGGTCTCCTCTTTCTCTGCCTGTTTGTTCTGTATGGCCGAGGAGGACCGATGGCTGCCGGTCACGTGGAGGAGGAGGGGGAGGAGAAGAAGGGTTGCCCTGAAGGGACGCTTCCACCGTGGCTGGCAATCGTTGTTCAGCCAGTCTGGATTCCAAAAAGAAGAAATGAAAGTAGTGAAGAGTGCCAAGGAAAGCTTGCTGGGTTGGCTCAGCCGCAGCTTTGAGACACAGACACAGACACACAGAGAGAGAGGCAGAGGCAGAGAGTGCGGAAGGGAGGGAGAGGGGCAGAGAGAGAGAGAGACAGAGAGAGATACGGGGGGAGAGAGAGCCATAGAGAGAGATACACAGGGGGGGAAGAGAGAGAGGGGGAAAAAGAAAAAAAAGGGAAAGAGAGAAAAAGAGGGAATGTGAGAGGAAGAGAGAGAGAGACAAGCAAGAAAAAAGAAAGAAAGAAAAAAGAGAAAGGAAGAAAAGGGATAGACAAAGAAAGGGAGAGATGGAAGGAAGGGACAAAGAAAGAAAAAGAAAGGGAGGGAGGGAGGAAAAAGTGAATGAGATATATGGATGGATAGATAAATACATGGAGGGAGGGAGGGAGAAAAAAAGGAGAGGAGGAAGGACACAAACCCTGGCTTCAGAAGACTGAAACAGCACAGCAATCTAGGGCTGGAAGGGATCTCAGAGGTCATCTTCTAGTCCAACCCCCTGCTCCAGCAGGAGATCCTTACAGAATCATAGAATAGCAGGGTTAAAAGGGTGTGTGTGTGTGTGTGTGCACGCACTTCAGGTGGGTCTCCTAGCTTTAGAAGGAGAGAGGGAAGGAGGAAGGGAAGGGACAGAAAGAGAGAGAGAAAGAGAGAGGGAAAGAAAGAGAAAGAAAGAAAGAAAGGGGTAGGGAGACAGAGAGAAAGAAAGAGCAAGAAAGAGAGATAAAAAGAAAGAGAGAAAGAAAGAGCAAGAAAGAGAGGGGGAGAGGAGAAAGTGAATGAGATATATGAATGGATACATGGAAGGAGGGAGGGAGGGAGAGAGAAAAAAAGAGAGGAAGGAAGGACACAAACCCTGGCGTCATAAGACTCTTTGAAGCAGCACAGCAATCTAGGGCTGGCCTGCAAGGAATCTCAGAGCTTATCTAGTCCAACCCCCTCCTCCAGCAGGAGATCCTTACAGAATCATATAATAGCAGGGTTAGGTGTGTGTCTGTCTGTCAAAACTCCAAAAACAGGTCAAGTAGATCTGGGGAGATCAGTCATAAATTAGAACACTTGCTAAGCAACCGGCCATTAAGCGAGGACCACTTTTATTTGGTTTGCCAGTCACATGGCCACCTGGTGACGCCCACCCAATCACATGGTCACCAAGCCACGCCCATCTAGCCACGTGACCACAAAGCCACACCCATCTGATCACGTGACCACAAAGCCACACCCACAAATTAAGCCACGCCCACAGAACCGGTAGTAAAAAAAAAAATTTGGAATCCTACCACTGATGAACACAGACACGAGTATGTAACAAATGGAAATATTGACAATTCAGCAAGAAAACTGTCAAAATCATGGAACAAGGATAGATGCCGCCTGCTGTGAAGCTGCTACAAACTGTGGTTTTTAAAATTCAGAATTTATACTAAGTTATGGTTTGAAGCAACACCTAATTCTGCCAAATGATTTAGATCAGGGAACACATCCATTGAAAATGAGAAAGGAGCAACCAGAAATAATGGAAAGCTTTAGATACCCTATAGCTTTATTAACTGACTCTGAAAGGAGAGTAAAGAAAGTTCTGTATATGATATTTCTACCCATCTATGAGTCTGTGAAATAACAAAAACTAGCCAACTGCATCCCTACCAAAGTCTATCTTTAAATTAATGTTCCAAACTTCAATATTTGTACATTGTTATTTCTCTTTCAGCTTATGAAATTGCACTCCAAATATGCCATTTTTTTTGCAAGTCCTTATTGCAAACACATAGAAAATTCAACACTGGAAGCATCTGAAACTCTGAAATAAGACAGATAAACCTGTTTCTTCTATGTGCCTAAGAAAAAATAGTGTGAATTTTGCAGCCTTAGAATAACATAATCAAATTTGAATGGGCTTTTACTTTGCTTGAATATGCCAGCAAATGCAGTGCCCATACAATCACTCTCATCTACAATACTTAGCTGAAATTCACATCATTTTCTGCAGCAAAATTTTTTAGCACAGTCTGTCCTCACATTATATGAAATGATAAAATATTACATCCAAAAATGTAATGCATGAATTACATATGTATTATATTCCCAGAGCTTTATTATATCCATATCATAGCTATATGATAAATGAAAGCACCTTGGGGAAAAGTTTTGGGACAATTATAGCATGCATTTTTATAATAAATGTATAAATAGACTGGTAAGTTTTTTTCTCAGTTGCAGCACAATCATCAACATGCTCCCATTCAGCCAAATAACATGCTAACAACCACCAACAACAACAAAAGATAAATACCAACCTCATCCTTAGGCCCATCCTTAGGTGATAGCTGTCTCAAAACAAACATAGCAAAATGAGACAATGTGGGAGAATTAAATCTTAAAACATTTCCCCTAAAATCAGTATCTTAAAAGAACTGACAGCTCATTATTACAACAGCTAACCATGCTGGAGGTGGCTGCTGGATTGATGGCAGATGTCACCTCCCCTTCCCCTTGCATTCTGCTCTATACCAGCCCATCTTTTGGGTTATCATATTGACGTACTCATTCCATTATTTTTCACTGTTTATTTTATTGTTCTATTATTTTGCTTCCATTCTGTTTACACTCCTTTCATTTTCTTCCTTATTACTGTAAGCACATAGAGTAGCCCCAAGGCTAGATAGGTAGCAAATAAATAAATAAATGATACCTCTCATTTAAAATCACAATCATATTTTATTATTGTGCACATAACTGTTAGCCTTTGGTGTATGTATCATACAAAGAGAGGACCAGTGGGTTAACTTAGCCATTAATTAATCTGCAATTAAAAATCAGCTTCCTTGCCAAAAATCATGATTTAAGCCATGTTTCTCATTAAGTATGATCCAAAAAATTCTGGCTTACTGTCATGAATATAACAAAAAAGCCAGGGTTAAATTATCTTGGCTTAAAAGATGAAATTAAATCAGAGTTTACAAAGTGTAATGGGAACATTCAGTTTCATGCAAGTATGTAATGAAATGCCAAAGCTGGCATCAGAGAAGATGACTAAATGAAATTAAAAAGTATACGAAAGGACAAAAGAAAATGTGTTTCTAATTTTAGAAACACTTTTCAAAATGAAGCTGAGGAATACCATCAAAATCAAATGACTTTGTTCAATGTGTGCAGAGTAGAAGCCAAGGTTTGAAAAAAGTTCAACTTTCCCAAACATTTATTTTTTACATTTGAGTTCAATGTAATTCTGAATTAGATTTTCACAGTGTTTATGTGAAGAAAAGCAATTCTGCTTTAACAAAATCTCTCATCTCAAGCTGCAAACGCTGTCAGTTTTGGTGGCCCAACCCATCTTAAATGTGGCTTTTTTGAAAGCAAAGGATGCAAAAAAGCTGTCCTATTTAAATGAGCATGTAGTTATTATTTTGCTACAAGACTACAGTACAGTATTTCCAAACCTTATCCACAATTTTCACTGCCTATTATTTTAAGTGACCTGCAAACTAGTACTGTAACTATGATAACAAAACGAGATTTTTCTTTTTTACATTACAATCAACCTAGCAAATTCTCATTTCCCTAACATGGTTAAAAACTCATCCTAGGAGCTTTGACTTACAACAAACCCAAGAATTACAAACTTCCCCCAGAAATTGGCAGAACAATAATTTTTAATGAAACAGAACAATTATTTCCTTAACTTTCTCAGTATTTTTCAAAGGAGGCTCTAGGGGTTATTGCAAGAAAGTTAATTTCTCTGAAGGCTCTTGACTATGTAGGAACCAGGAAAATACAGAAATTCAGGTATGTTGCTTAATAGCAATAGCACTTAGACCACTACATAGTGCTTTACAGCCCTCTGTAAGCTGAGTCAGAGTTAGCATACTGCCCCCAACAATCTGGGCCCTCATTTTGCTGATGTTGGAAGGATTGAAGGTTGAATCAACCTTCAGCTGGTCAGGATCAAACTCTTCGCAGTGGGAATGTAGAGTTAGCCTGTAATACTGCTGTGTAATACTCCACTGTGCCACCATGGCTTTTTGTCTGACTTCTTGCATTTCCAATAGTCAAAGCTACAAATGAAAACTGCCTAGACTCAAGAGACTCTCTTCAGCTGTTAGCATAGAATAAAAGCCGTGTTCTATACTCACCATGAAGACGCTCTATGTGACATCACATTCCATCCTATAAAGGAAGTGAAAGTGCTCTCCCCAGTCTGATTTACAAGAAACAAGAGAGAGAGGGAAAGGGAGGGAGAGAGAGAGAAGGTTGTCATGTAACTACGCTACGAGGAAAAGTGATTTGGGCCCTTTCATTTCCCTCGCACAGCAAATTGCAACAGCACAAGGGTTTTTATTCCAGATGAAAGGAACCAATCATTGTGCCTCAATTTATAATGAGCTCCAGCAAAAAAGGAGTAACGCAAAAGGAATAAACGGAATAAACTTAGTTGTAAGATATGCGCTACCTATCCCATAAAGGAAACGCTTCTATTTAAGAAAATTTATGTTTGTTTACAAATATATACAGTGCTGCTCTAATAGTATACAGACATCACCAAGAAGGTAAAACTAACCTGAATATTGAAGTATAGACATTATGGGATGATAGTAATCTGACCAAACTAATGTTTAATCTTGCACACATGTAAATAACCTTAATGAAGGAAAAGAAAAATATTTAAGAAATTTAAAATATATAGCAGAGTTAATCAGACTTAATTAAAGCAAAGGTTGTTCTACTGCTATAGACTTGGTTTAAGGAAAGTGATAAACTTAAATCTGGCAAAAATGTGGTATATTACATTAATCCCATTGCCCAGAACAGAACATTAATATGTCCAATAATAAATAATGCTTTGACAAAAATGTTGCCTTGAGCAGACATCAACTTTTTCTCCAAAGACTGATTTAAGGTAGCAGTTTTACTGCAGTAATTAAAGAAAGTATGACTTTGGGTAGCACTTCTTTTTATAATGCAATTTTTTTTTCTTGCCAGACCAAGTCTGTTATTGGAAACAACATCTAGCTTGCAGAGGTTGGTGGTACTGGAGGCCTAATTCACCTCTCTGATTCTTTTGGGTCATAGCCATACATTCTTAGACATTAAAGCACACTGGAAAGGATTCCTTAACAAAAGCTTCAAATACATGTGCAAACAGAAATAACTTTTAGCAAGTAATCATATGCTAGCCAAATGATAGAAATATATAGGTAGTCCTCTTATAACAACTATAATTGGGACCAGCAACTCAGTCATTAAGTGAAGTGGTTGGTAATTAAAATATAACTGTTCTTATAATCTTGCTTCAGCTTTCCTTTGTTATACAGAATAAAAGTCATAAATGTGAGGGTTGGTTATAAAGGTGTTTTTTTCATCACTGTCTTAACTGGGAACAGTCACTGTACAAAGAAATTACTATTTGAGGACTAAACTCAGAAACTCCTAAATTTGTGCTTATTTCCTCAATAAATTATAAACCAAAGCACACAAAGAGATTAATTGAAAAAAGCATAAAGCTGTTCCACCTGTCATTTATAGATAAGCTCGGGAGACAGAATACAGAAATAAAGATATAGAAAAAAAATTATATCCTTCATATTGTTGTAAATAAGGATCATCGTTGAACTAGAAAAGGATGTTTAGGTTTTTGGAATATTTTAGAGTGAAATAATATATAGCACCTGATTTGAATAATGTATGAGAGGCAAAAATAAAGAGTTATAGGGCACGTAATCTCTCTTGTTGAGATCCTGGGAAAAAAAAATAGAATGAAGGGAGGAGCACTTTTAATTTCCATATAGAATGAAATATGATGCTGTGCCTAAAGAAATATTTTTCAAGCAACTTAGTCCAAAGAGAATATCCATGGAGAAAGGAAGATAATGAGCAGCCACCATCAACAGATTTAGCTACTTTTGTATCTCATTTCTGAAAATTGCAGTTGTTAAACATTCCTACCTACATGATGGAATGATGCCTTTTTCTATTGCAATGTTTGTTAAACATATGGACAGTTCAAGAAAACTATAAAGCACCAAAATTTTATTCTTATTAAACAGAGTATTTCATAATGAATTGAGCAATGAAGAAGACCAAATCTGAAACATTTATGAAATATTGACAATATCAAACGTGAGCAGTGCCACTAATAGATGGGTTGGGTTGCATCCACATTATATATCCATTGATGGAACCACATCCCTCAACAATATGAAATCCCAGTCTCTAAAATCCATTCTAGGATGCTGGGGAAATCTTGCAGAATAGATTTGGAATACAAATGGGAAGGGATCAGAAATCACTGAACTTTTACAGTTTCTCAAACAATGAATCTGAATTGTGCTCAGGGCCTTTGCAGCACCTTCTGTATTTTGATTAGAGGCACTCAACAATTGGTTAAAAAAAAACCTAAGTACCTGCTCTGCTGGCAAAAGACAGTTCATACATTCATTTTTCCTCATGAGCCCTGTGATAGATAATCTATACAGCGTTGATTTATTTATTTATTTACTTGTTCTTTTATATGGCTACCAATTTACCAGGCAACACTGGGTGGTTAATAAAATTTAAAAATATCAAGCAAATAAAGTGGGCTATATATAAAATATATATGCAGATCAAAAATAGTGTGTTCAGCAACATTAAACGTTAATAACTGTTGATTGTTTAGAAATTTCTGCCCAGAGCTATATATTGTAATCAGTAAAACAGAAGTGGTTTCTGTTTACAGAATGAGGTTGTACCAATACATTTCAGTGAGATTTCAAATGGGAATTCTTACTGCAACGAAGAGCCTTGTTTAAATCCTCCATCTGACCATGGAACCCAGGGCATAATTTAGGCATTAGATAAGTCAGTCTACTTTACTCTTAATCATTGCCACTATAGAGGGCGGTACTCATCTCTGTTTCAAGGCTATTGGGTCTCAAACTTGGGCTGCTGACTTTATAGCTGACAAGCCCAGCATCTTAACCACTGAACCACCACACTGCCCATTATTAGGTAGCTGGACATGTTAAATTACTGAATGATGGTTGTGAATACTTATATTCCATCCATCTTCACTTGCTCCAACTTGAAGATGGATGGGATATATGTATAATAATTAATAAATGCATTTTCAATTCACTATCTAACTTAGCCTATGAAGTGAAAAGAAACTGAAGATAGAATTAGACAATGTTGAACCTTACAATAAACCAAGTGAATTGAATTAGAGACATTTGATAAAGTATTAAAATTGCACACAATGTAGATACAGGATTCTGATCATTTTTCCACATTTTAAATTATACCCTATATTCATACTAAGTTTGAGGCAGCAGCATTGAATGGCTTTGTTTGGACTTAGAAATGAAACAGAGACAGACCTGGTTAATAAATATTTATGCAATATGGGAGATTACCAGGAAACTCTGAGATTTTACAATAGAATGGAGAATTGACAAAATAGTTCTGAAGAAAATAAGGGCAAACCATTTGTATTTTCTTCTGAAAATACCACATGGAGGCATCCATGTAGACCCCCAGGTAAATAGCACTAACTAAATGAGAGTTTACTAAATATGTATCTATAGTGTATTTAAGTACAAAAATATATTATGGTCTCTCCAACTAGAAAGAGTGATATTTACCAAGAGCAAAGATTTAGGCTGAACTCTATAGAAAAAGCCAAGGATTTTATGATTAGGCATAAATTAATTTCACATCCAGGTGAAAAAATGGATACAGAAAAGAAGCTAGTGGTGGAACAAACTCAAAAAGGTGGCATTGAAGAAGGCATAGCCAAGATAATTGAAAACTCTGGTGCCCCACCACCATGGGAACATCCTGGTCATCTAATTCCACCTCCTCCCGAAGACCCTGGACTGGTATGTCAGGAATATTGGGGAACACCTGAGTTTGATGATGTCCCATATGTGCAAAGGATCAAGCAGACAGGGATCCCGCTTCCGAAGTAGCCGAAAAGTGTCTGGTCCGGATGGATTGCTGAACTCCAGCGTCAATGTCCTTTTGTATGGCCATCTCCATCCATTGCCTCATTTTGATGGGAATAGTCTCAGGTAATCCCTCCTCCTGTCTTAAACCAGCGGCCGTAGGGGTGAAGGTTGCCTCTGGGATTCGCCGGGCAGTGCTCATTGGAGGAGATATGCCAGGCTGTCCAGAAATAGCCTGTCTGGGCTGGGTGGATAAGTCCAAGGGCCCCAACAATGTACTTGGACCCTGATCCGATTGTTGTGTCATAGCCATCTTGTCCGCCTCCCTGGCCCGTTTCTGCAACTGCTTTTCCAAGGCTTGGTGCCATCTATGGGCATCCTTATCCGCCGCCTTAGAGGCCTTTTGGGGGCCCACTGACTTATCTCGGGACTTATTTGTCTTGGAGCAGAAGACGTTGTCACTTTCCATTGTGGGGGACTGATTCTCGTGCCTCTAACTTTATTTTTTTAAATTATTATTATGATGATTATGATTATTATTATTATTATTTGTACTTAGGGGTGATGCCTACCCCTGTGGTTGAAAGTAGAATGCTTCTCCAGGAGTGTAAGTCTATATACATATACATATACATATACATATACATATACATATACATACATACATACATACATATATATATACACACACACACACACACACACACATAAACATATACATATATATATACACATATACATATACGAGCCTATATCTACATGTAAAACGGTGTATATGGGAAACAGTATCTAAGGGTCCCCAACAAGGGAAACCCCCAAGCGCTCCAAGCAAGAAATATTCTGGATCCCTGGTCCCCAACAAGGGAAACCAGCTATACAGGGCCTGGATGGATCCTTTCCTGTCAAAAAACATCCCGCTGTTTGAAATGGCACTTGTGGCTTCACTCCAATGCAATGATCCAAAAGCAATTGCAAAAAGAAAAAAATTCCTGTTTAAGGACTAGCCTGCTTATCCAACGCCAGCAAGATGAAAGAGAAATAATGCCAGGGAAGTGGAGTGGGAAGGTACCTGCCCCGGTCCCCAAGAAGGGAAACCAGCGGGGAATGGCGCCTGTGATATTTAGGCGCGAACTTGAAGCCAGCCGTTGAAGATGGCGGGAAGGCAGAATCTCTGGTGTTAATTGCCTGAGCAGTTTAATGAGCCGCTGCTGCTGACTCTCTAAATTGTCAGATAAATGATCCTGTCAGTCAAAACGGCAAGAAGTGAGCCGCAGCTGCAAGCGCTCTGCCAAGATCGCAGAGATAAGACGATCAGGGGATTAGATAAGCTAATTGCCTGAAGCGGCCATCTCAGGCTGCCTGCGGAGTGGCAGGCTCCGCCAGCCACAAAGAACTGCTCTCAAACTGATCGGGGGGATGACCTAATAGAGCCACAAGCCTTGAAATCGCCAAATTAATTGGGGAAAAATTTACAAGCCGAATTAACCCAAGAGCAAACCTGAATTTTGACTAGCTGAATCAGAAAACCGTTCCAGTCAGGGAGTGCACAACCTCTTACCACGAAGGCTGAGCTAAAACTGGGGGACGCTGGGGAGGTGACCCATGGAGGAGGAGGAGCGTCCCGGAGTTTTAAGCCCAGCCTTTCCAGAAGAGACTGAAGCACCTCCCACTTCTGGATGCTCTGAACAGCTCATGGGAGAAATCACCTATCACTATTGGGTAATCTGTAATTAAGATGAACATCTTACCAAAGATGCTTTTTTTTATTCCAGACATTACCAATATTGGCAACCGATAATCCATTTAAACAATGGCAAAAGATATTTCAAAGTTTATATAGCAAGAGAAAAAAACAAGAATTAGATACAAGCTATTGAAAAACCCTAAGGACAGAGGTTTAGGTTTACCAGACTTGAAACTGTATTTTGATGCATGCTGTCTGGCCTGGTCAAAAAAGTGTGTGAATCTCCAGAACAAGCGGTTACTTGAATTAGAGGGCCATGAATTATGGTTTGGATGACATCATTATCTATGGTATGACAAAGCTGAAGTTAATATTGAATTTAATAATCACTTTGTTAGACGTGCCATACTACCGGTTAGTGTCAAGAATAAATATAAAACAAGGTTCTCTATCAAGTTGCCTCTTTGGGGGTCCTTCCAGGAAGCTTTTTTAAGAAAAGAAATGGCAGCAAAGCAGTGGACATACGGTAAAATACTATTTTTCAACTCCGGTAACTGTACACTAAAGTCAAGTAAAGAACTTGAATCTGAAGGTTATGTTTACCATTGGTTTACATATCAAGAACTGAAAGAAGGATGTAAACTAGATAAAAAGAGTTATGGGTTTGATTTCATTAAAAATCAATTTGAAATCTTACTGTGTGGTAGTGATGAACATATTATTGCGAAGATTTATGTTATTGAAATTGCATTTGGAAAGTGAACATGTAAAACATTGTATGCTTCAGTGGGCAAGGAATTTTGGATATAACTTGATGCTTGAACGATGGGAAAATATGTGGATGAAAGATTTAAAATTTAAATTATAATTTAAAATATTTTTTTATAAGATGGTATATTGCTGGTATTTCATACCGGACAAGTTACCTAGAATGTATACAGATATTTCTAATGAATGTTGGAAGTGTAAAAGCAAAGAAGGGACTTTTTATCATTTATGGTGGACATGTGATAAAGCAAAGACATTTTGGAGTAAGATTCATATTTTAATACAGAAAATTCTTAAAACGAAGAAAAAGATTAAACCAGAAGCTTTTCTTTTGGGTATAATGGAAAAAGACTTGGAGAAAAAATTCGGAAGTTTGGATGTTCTATATGTTGACAGCAGCAAGACTACTGTACGCCAAAATAATGGAAGGACATTTCTATTCCCACAATGGACGAATGGCTACAAAAGCTGACGGAGTTGGCAGAAATGGCTAAATTGACCGTTTTGATTAAAGATAAGAATATAAGTACCTTTGTTGCCACATTGAGACTGCTTCTGAACTTTGTGCTTGAGGTGGGAAAAAAATGAAACTTTGATTTTGGGTTTTACCGGTTACACTGATATGTGTTTATTTGTAGGAATGGCTAGTCTGTATTACAATGGAAAAGCAAAAAGTTGTGGTTTGTTATTAGTGCTTTATTTTACTGCAGGTAAAATAGGTAGTCAGAAGTCAACACTTTTTTTTTCTTTTCCCCATCCCTTCCTCTCTCTCTTCTCTTCTCCCCTTTCCCCTCACTGTCTTCCTATTTTGTTTCGTATTTTGTACCTTGTTTTATAACTTAATAAAAATTTCAGACACACACACACACACACACAAACATATATTCATAATATAGTATAGTTAGTATAGTATAATAAATACTGTATAATATCTATGATGGTCCCTCAAACTATATTTTAAACTAGAATCATAAATAAACGTGTGATTCCCATCCTTTGGTGGGCTTTAAGTACCCATCTCCTGAATAGGAGCTCATGATCCTTTTCTGTCTATCAGGATTATTCTTTGGCTTCTCGTGCTCTATCCTTTTTCCCTAATTGGGCCAGGGCTACTGATTAATGTAAATCTATTTACTCACATCATAACTGAAACAAGAATATAACATCAATAGATTTTTAACATAGTGCCAGGCAAAAAAGAGCCAGAGTAACAAATAGAATGTTCTTTAGAGATTTAACATTTTTATTATCTTATTCTACAAGAAAATAAAATTCTAGTCGCAACTGGTAGTATGTTTTCACCTCAGTAAAAATGCACTTCAGAACAACCTATATTGTGTATGTTGTTAAATTTATCAAACTTTGATTTGAAAATTACAAGTCAGATTCTTGCATTTAACCTATTTCGGTTTGTAACATTCTCGCTTTTAGTTCAGAGTTTAGTTCAGATATTTACTTATTTTGGAAGTCTGAAAGAGAAACATCATTTTTATATTACAAAGCTCTATTTCAGTGTTATAAAAATATTCTGTGTACCCATTAAAAGAGCCATATCACCAGAGACATCTTAAGCATACATTTATTTATATTTGATTTACTTTAATGGATATATAGGCAACTCCAATTGTGAACAATGCATGTGATATGAACCTTGGCTCTTGAAAGAAAAATCAGTAGGCTAGAGTGCCAAACGAATTGTAATTTAATTATACCCAATTTGCAGGATAAAGTACTCATGGAAGTTAATGCTCCATTCACTACTTTTAAAAGTCCTGAATAGCTATACAGAACTCAGCCAGGTGAATCATTGAAACAAATAGAAATGTTAGACTCTTCAATCCTGAAGAAACATATATTAAGCTACACCACTTAAAAACAAATTAAGATCAAAGTATATAAACAACTAAACATTGTTTTAACATAGCACGAAGAGTAAAAAACTTACCGCAAGCTACTACAAGGCAATGTGATGAACCTGAACATTGCCAGAAAAACTCTTAATGGGAGGAGGGTGAATATGTAAAGGAAAGCATCCAGGCACAAAAAGATTCCAAAAATCATCAACTACAGAGGAAAGAAAGAGAAAGAAATACAGGGTTTAACCAAGTTTCATACTGAGCTTAATTACACGTAAAATGGATAGGACTATAATCATAAGCATCTTCAATAAAACAGGGCAGTTTACATAAAATTATGCATAAATACAAAATTCTATTCAAGGCCTGGCAAAACCAGTAGATTTTCACAATTTAATTAGAAGCAAGGAAGGTGCCCCTCTCCAGACAGGAAGTTCCAATTTGACACCAGACAAGAGACATTCAGCAAAAGCTCGCTTTCTAAGCCATTGGCATGTGAACTTTGCAGATTTTCATGGCTTCAGTGATCCTAATCTTTACTCAGTAGATGAAGCGTTCTCAGATATAGTGTCAGATCATCAGCCTTGATCTTCTATATATGTTCAAATAGTTATAAAATTTACAGAACTCATTACAAATATCAACATCTTTCCTTCAAACATTTTCTTCTTATGCAACAGAATAACATTTTCTCTATTTAGAAAACATAAATCCATATCCAAAAGCAACTTTCCTATTGCGATCATAATTCTTACACAATTCCTAGCATTTTTACACAATACTCATCCATCCATCCTGAAAGGACCTGCCGCAGCTGGTCCTTCAGGAAAGCAAAATTCTTGACTCCATTGAGTTGAATCAAAAGAACTTTTATTGAGAGAATGTGGTTGCAGTAAAGTCAGGCAAAATCTGAAAAAGCCCACACAAAGTTCAAAGTAATTCTTTCCTGCCCCTAAACCCAACCCTCCTGACCAGCAGCCAATGTGATGCCGCAAGGTTGTTTTGAGAACAATGAGGTGCTAGGCAGATAACGGTTCACTCTCAGTGCATGACGGTCTTGAAATCAGACTGGAATTGGCTGAGAGGGAATCTGAACTGTCTCTGAAGACAATTCCCAAGCAGTTTGTCCACTCTGAAGCTGACCTGGCTGAAGCCACTTTTTTTTTCTTGCCTCAAATTGCCACGAACTTTGAAAGGGGGAAGGGAAGCAGACTGGCTACAAGTCAAAAGTAAAAGTTTTCTTGTGGGAACCAAGGTCATCCCAACAGATGGCAGAGGAGTGGCCAAGCAACCTCCCAGCTATCTTTATTGGACAATGTGATTGGTGACACCTGGGTAGGGAACAATTGTTCTTTTAATTAGGGGAAAAACCTTTAGAATTGGTTTTCACTAGTTGTGTTCAATAAAAATGTTCTTTGAGGAGTTCTGCTTTTGGTGGATGCATTATTTGGAACCTTGACATTAAACCAACTCTCATAAATTTCCGGTATAGGCTGCTCACCAGATCTTCGAGGAAGCAGAGAAGGCTGTGGAAATGGAGAAGGATGGGGAAGAAGTCGCCGGGGCTGGGGCCAGCGCCAGAGTGAAACCCTGCAAACAGTGGCACCGCTGAAGATCACCCTCCCAGCAGTGACCTGGCTGAAGGTCCAAATGGAGGCACAAGCCAAGGACCTGTACCAGACTGAGGAGAACCTCAGGCACCAGGCCTCCATCCAGGGGGACTTGGAAGGGAGTGCCCATTGACCTTGTCAATGGGAGTGGTGTCAGTGTGGCCTTCGCCCTGCATTGGAGAGTGAGGGGATCCCTTGAACTAGATGAATCTGGGGAATGGAGATACCTAACAGCTTTCCCCGGCCAGATGATGGAGAACCCGCAGGAGAGGTTCGACCAGATGAGCATTGAAGGCATGGAAAAGCCATGTAGGTTCGAACCATCTAGAGTGGTCCTGAGCCGACCTACCCTGACATTCCCACCCTGCCACGGTCCGGCTCCAGCTGCAGTGACTTGATCAGTTAGTGCTCTCCTGATGACGTTGGCGCAGTTGAGTCTGGTCCCACAGCAAAGCCCACCATGCCATCGTTGGTTGGCGAACATGCCTTGCCACCTACATCACCATGGGCGGGACCCACACCATGGGCATCCTACCCCAGGGCTGGCTGGGTCCTGGGGCAGTGGCCTCCAGCTTAGAGAAGACCTCAACCTCTTCCTCCTCCTCCTCCTTGCCCAGCCACCCCTCCACCAATGAAGGCCGCCTTCTACAGGGACCCAGACAGGCATGTATTCTTCCTGAACCAGGTGTGGGCTAATATAGATGATCATGCCATGGACTATCCCAGCAACCAAGCCATGGTCCTAGCAGTGATCGCAAATTTGGAAGGGGAAGCAGCTGAATGCATGACCCAGCTCCATGATGAGGATGCATCAGAGGTGGGAAACAATGACAACTTCCCACAGGAATTGAGGGCTAGGTTCAAAGACAACTCCTAGGTCTTGCAAGCTGAAGCAAAAATCTGAGAAATCAAGCAAAGGGGCCACCCCGCCAAGGAATATGTCCAAGAATTTCAGAGTGGCTAGGAAGCTGTAACAGTGGCCAGAGGGGCTACTGGTCCATTTCTTTAAGGAGGGCCACATATGCGGTTAATAAGGGCTCCCCGGCTGAATCCAGGAATGGTATCGGATGGCGGTGGCAATGGACCTCGAACTCAAATGGTACAAGAAATGTGGAGTCACAGAGCAAAAACCAAAGACCCAACCAGAGAAACACCAGCTTGGAAGGCAATCTACCCCTGGCCAAGGCACAGAGCCTCTAGCGCAGGGGTCACCCAGCTTTTGGACCTTGGGGACCACTAAACTCATAATTTTAAATCCTGCGGACCAGAGACCTTGGGAAAAACTCCCAAAAAGTCTGCAGGGAAATTCCCCACCCCGTTTTCCTACTGATCGAACATTCTTTATTTGGGATCAGATACCGTCTCCAGCTCCGTTCTCAGGGAGAGGGGGGGGGGGGGGGGGGGGGGGGGGACTGACTTTTGGCTTCCTGCAAGGAAAGCAGCAGAAGCAGCAGAAGTCTTTCTTTCTCTCCCCCAACTCCGTCAGAAATGAGTCTTTGTGAGACTTGAAGCACCGGCACAGCCTCTTGGAGCAGGATGCCTTGCAGGGTCTCAAAGACTCATTTCTGGCCTAGATTGGGGGAGAGAAAGAAAGACTTTTGCTGCTTTCGTTGCATGCAGCCAAAAGCAGAAGAAGAGGAAAGAAGTGCCCAAGTGAGGAGCGTGGGTTGAGTGGGGCAAGCTCCCCCCCTCTGCCCTTTCCCCCCCTCCCCTCACTACCTCGTGTTGTTCGCAAAGCAGGCAGCACAAGCCTTGTGTTCCCACGGGCCATGTGGCGCATCCTTGTGTTCCCGTGAAGCCTGGATTAATTGCTTAAGGGGGTCCTTTGGGGGTGACTTTTCTCTGAGGACCACCAAACTTTTCTCACAGACCACCAGGGGTCCCCGGCCCATTGGTTGGCGACCACTGCTCTAGCAGAGCCTTGGAACTGCCCATTAACTGCTTTCATTGTGGCCAGCGAAGTCATCGGGCAGCCGATGGCCTAGCCCCAGCTCCCCAGTCGAGGGGGAAACACCAGAGCCAGCCAAGCCAAAGAAGCCCCAATGAAAGGTGAGAAAGGGAAGTTTACCCACCAAGCTGTGGAGGTCTCCCCTACCCCAGGTGAGGGAGAACTCCAGCTCGGGACACCCAGCAGCCTGCACCCTACGACAGCGATGACGAGAGCGAGGACAACCCGATAGTAAGCGAAGCCATCTGCCCCTTCACCATCCAGTCAAGACTTGTAGTACAATAATCTGGGGCCCAGGGGGATGTAGAAGCCATAATAGACTCAGGATGCATTCATTGCCTGATGAGCCTGCAATCTGCCCTGAAGTTAGGGATCGGGGCAAAACCCCTGACCTGGCCCAAAAGGTTCAAGCAAGTCAATGGATTGTTGCTAGGAGGAGCCCTTGCCACACTCCTCACAGACCCAGTGTGGCTAGAGATGGGCAAGCACTGGGAAATCATCTGCTTTGTAAAGGCACCAAAAATGACTGATCACCGGATCAGCTGTCAGCCGTTGCATGGCTCCGAAAACCAGCTGGGAAGCGGAGCCGCAAAAATTCAAGAGAGAGACTTTTTCTAGGCTTTTTTTCCTCTTTGTAAGGCTGCCTTTGGGGAAAACTTCCAAAGGCAGGAGAGGCAGTGAATTGTGTCCATCCTGGCTGAGGACTGAGTCAAAAGATGGGAGGAGCTACCCAGAGCGGGTGGAGCTAGGCTTATAAGCCTTTTAGATAGACTCAGTCCAAGCAGCTAGGACAAGAGCAACACCCACTCCTGACCTGTCGCAGCCTTACAAGGGAGAACAGCAACTTTTTAATTTTACATATGTATTTTTTCATTGGTGATAGAACTGCTCTTCAGAAAGCAACAAATGAATTTTGGCTGTACATGCTGTTCTCCTGCTGATACATCACTGCTTTGGAACCAGTCCAATATATTCAATTATAGTGTTATCAGGTCAGACTTAAGGCAAATTGAATGCCAGACTGAACTGCCAAAAAATGCAATTGGAATATTATCTTTAAGTTGTATACGTTTTTAAAAAATCAACAATCTGGCATCTCCAATTGTTTTTATAGTCTTTATATTAACAAACAAACAAAAGCTTCATGTGTTCTATAAAGTGAGACTGAGCATTCCTTAGGCATAATAAAATGCTGAGAAATTAACTTACCTTTTCCAATTCTCTTGGTATTCGCATGCATGTATACACTCTCTCTCTCCGTTCTGTGTACTTGGCTTCATTGTGTTCAAGGAAGTAACCTCTTGTTAGCTCTGCATTGATAAACCTCAGTAGAGAAAGATCTGCATTGAAAGAAAACCTCTTTTTTAAAAAGTTGAATTATTTAGCATTTCTTTTCTCATTTTTTCTTAGCGGCCATAGTGAACTACTTTAAAGGCAAGATAACTCCTTGCTTAAAAGCTTGTGCCAACTAACTGGCCCCCATCTTCACTGCATCTTTAATAAATCACTAGAGATGTGCTATGTTCCTTCTTGCTTCAAATGCTCTACTATCATCCCAGTGATAAAGAAATCCTCCATCAAGGAACTGAATGGTTTTAGACCGGTTGCTCTAACATCTGTAGTTATGAAAACCTTTGAAAGGCTAGTGCTGGCCCACCTGAAAACCATCATAGATCCGCTGTTAGATCCCATGCAGATTGCATACCAAGCAAATAGATTGACAGATGATGCTGTTACTATGACTCTGCACTATATCCTACAACATCTAGACTCTCCAAAGACATATGCAAGGGTTCTCTTTGTAGACTTCAGCTCAGCATTCAATACAATTATTTCCAGATATTCTTCTAACTAAACTAAATCAGCTAGCTTACCTGACCGCACTTGTAAATGGATCATAAGCTTCCTAACAGACAGGAAACAGCAGGTGAAGCTAGGCAAAATTACATCAGATACCTGTACAAGTATCACAGGGGGCGCCCCCAGGGCTGTGTGCTCTCTCCACTTCTCTTCTATCTATATATGACTGCATCTCAAAAGATCCCTGTTAAAGTACTGAAGTTTGCAGATGATACAACAGTGATTGGTCTCATTAGAGACAATGACGAATCTGCATACAGATTCGTCATTGAACAACTCGCCTTGTAGTGCAACCAGAACAATCTTGAACTAAACACGCTCAAAACTGTAGAAATGGTGGTAGATTTTAGGAGGAACCCTCCTATACTACCACCTCTTACAATACTAGAAAACACAGTATCAACAGTAGAGACCTTCAAGTTTCTAGGTTCTATCATATCTCAAGACTTAAAATGGACATCTGATATCAAAAACGTCATCAAAAAAGCACAACAAAGAATGTTCTTTCTGCACTAACTCAGAAAGCTCAAACTGTCCAAGGAGCTACTGATTCAGTTCTAAGAGGAATTATTGAGTCTGTCACCTGCGCCTCTATAACTGTCTGGTTTGGCTCTGCAACCAACCAAAGACAGACACAGATTTCAATGGATAATTCGAACTGCAGGAAAAAAAACCAATTGCTACCAACCTGCCTTCCATTGAGGACCTGTATACTGCATGAGTCTAAAAGAGAGCCGTGAAAATATCTACAGACCCCTCACATCCTGGACATAAATTATTTCAACTTCTACCTTCAAAATGTTATGAAGCATTGCATATCAGAGCAACTAGACACAAGGGCAGTTTCCCCCGAATGCCATCACTCTGCTAAACAACTAATTCCCACAACACTGTCAAACTATTTACCAAGACTGTATTACTATTGTTCTTCTCATCCTTCCTATTACCTATGTCCTCCACTTATGACTACAACCTTGTTCCTTGTATCTTTATGACTTATATTGTTTTATTTAGTCTCCTAATAGTATTTGATTGCTTATTTAGTATCCTATGACTATCACTAAGTGTTGTAACTTGTGATTCTTGATGAATGTACTTTTAAATGTACACTGAGAGCATATGCACCAAAGACAAATTCCTTGTGTATCCAATCACACTTGGCCAATAAAGTATTCTATTCTATTGTATTAATCTAGGTCAGGGGTCTCTAAACTGGCTGGGAGTTGGTCTACAAATCTTAAAGTTATCAAATTTGGAGACCCCGATCTAGGCCAACACACAAGTGACAGCATCAGTTTAAATCTTACTATCTTTCCTGGTGCTTCTTATGTGTCGTTATTTTTTGTAATAAAATTTTATTATTTTTATATTTTAAAAACATCTCTTTCAGTGAACAACGTGGTTCCAGATTTACACGTCAACACAAACATGACCTTAGTACATATTTATCTTTCACATTCAAATTCAATTCTATATCATATCATTACTTCCATTTTCCAGTAAATTTTCTCCATTATTTTCTTTACACTTATTAAATCCATTTTTAATTTATATCTTATCTTAATTTCTTTTTCTATAAATGTTCTCAAATCTTATTCTATAGTCTAACATTCTTATTTTTTAATTCTAAATTCATTATACCTTTATACTTTTATCTGTCACATTTGCTATTTTGTCACATACTTTTATTTCATTATTCAATAAATTCCATCTTAAATCTAATAATTCCCCAAAATTTCCCCCTTTAAGTATCAATTAGAGTGTGCAACCCTTTTATCTTATACATCCCTGAATTTATTCCCCTTTAATCCATAATCAAAATTTATCATAATATAATCACTATATAATTATCACATTTTAGTTTAATAACAATAATTTCCTAACTACTATATGTCACATGTCCATATATATATTTTAAGCAAGGTTCCCCCTGGTATTCCCTAAAATTACATTTGTTGTTTCAAATATATTGATCTATTCAGTTAATTATAGAAACTGTTATTAGTCTTTTCACTAGGATTCTCATAATTCATTTTAACTATATTCTTTATTTTATTACCCATATATAAATTAACAACAATCCTTCAATAAAAAACCAATTAAAAAGAAAATATATCAATTTCATTCACATTTAAAAGCTACATTCTTATGTATTACAACACATTACCTTGTAGAATCCCTTTTCTTTAATCTTTATCTACCCGTTGTCTCTATGTCTCTCGACTAAACAATTTCTAATTATTTTTGTTCGGTTTCCATATCTCCTTATTTTCTGGTTCTTTCTCTTATTACATCTTTTTCCTTTCATTTTTTCCTTCCTTTTCTTATTCCAATTTTTATCCCCCTCCTTCTTTAAGACTTTCTTTTGTAATTCCCTTTTCTGGTGTTTCCTTTTTCTTTGTTTGGCTTTCAAGACATTTCCCTTTTTAATTGTCTCCTCAATCCTCCAAGTTTTAACTTCCATTTTCTCCCCTTTGTTTTGATGGTCATTGCTCCCTTTGTTCATTAAAGCTGGCTTCTTCTTTTTTAATTAACTCCTCCCCTTCTGGCACTCCTTGTGGTTCTTCTTTCTCCAGAATTGCCATTTCTAATAATTGTAAGGTAATACAGCACGATTCATTTCTTTCATTTAACATTTTTTATGTTTCTTAGTTCTATTTTTAGTTCCAAGAAAAGTTCTGCCATTTTCAAACACTTCTTTTATATTTTCTTTATCCCTTTCTTTAGAATTTAAGTCCAAGCCTATTGTCCAGTAATTCAATTCGACCAGCGTCTTTGATTTTTATTTTCAACGATCAACTTCTATTAATTCTTCTTTAAGTTTTTTTTCCCCAAATTCATCAATTAGTCCAATATCCATAAGTTTACATTTATGCCAAGATCACCAAACAACCCCAGTGTAGTTTCTTCATGCTCTTTTATTTTAAAATTCTGTGTTTTCACTTTTCAATGTTTCTGCTTTATTGTAACAAAGTTCCTCCTATTTTGTATCAAGTTTCAGTTTTGAGAGAACCAGACACTTTTTTAAAAAGTCACTGTAATTTTCTTTTATCATTAAGTGGTGCTCTCTGTTACATCCAAGTTCCACCCTTTCTTTCCACTTTTTTACTTTTTATTTGAGGTATTTATGTTTCAAAAATTCAATAAATCCAAATTGTAATTCATTTCTTTTTGGCACATTCAAGTTCAGCATTTAATTGCCTATTTAGTGCCAGAATCATATATTTGTCCAAGTTTTCTTCCAGCTTCCTCCTTCAATTTAGCTCCTGTCAAAATCTTTCATTTTTTTCCACCCCTCTTTCCTCTCTCTCTCTCATCGCTGCTTTATAATCCTTTTAGAAAAAATATTTGTACCTTAATTCCGGGGTATCTTTATGTCCATGAGTTATGTCTGGTTTTCACACTATCCACTTCTTCACCACTTCAGCACAAAACTTAATTCCCGGATAGCTTCCCATCTTCAGGGCAGCCATTAAAGACTGCCGCTTACTCCTGTCTTTGAGGGGAGTGTATCTAGCCAGGGAGGGAAGATGTGGCTCCCCTCGACTCAGCTGGCGGTCTCCCCCTCTTTCCCCACCCACCCAAGGTGGATCCGGTTTGGGATCCTCCAACAGGGCAAACACTGATTGAAGCCATGCACGATCACGGTCTCCGGTCCGTCACCGATGGAAGTGCCACCAGAAGTCCCTTCTTCTTACGTGTCATTAGTATGCATCAGTGCCCCATCTACAACTCCACAGTGACAATATCTAGAATATAGCTCTTTACTATTTGTTGCTGTCTTCTGTTCCACCTACTACGGATTTGCCCCAATTTTATTCAGTTCCAAGAATCTCCAAACTGAGTTGAATAAACTCTTGGCAGGAATCCCAGAGAGCTCGCACTACCAATCCTGGTTCATTCTAGTAGACTATATGAGTCTTGCTGACTTACAACCAGCAGGACTCATCTTACTAGGGTTGCTGTTTAGCACTACTGGTTTCCCTGCCTTTATTTAAAGACATGTAAAGACCCAATAGTTTTCAGAAGCAATTAGAGTACAGAGATTAAGGGAATAAATAATGGGTTTAAATCTGGAGATTGAGGATGAAAGTGATAAACCAGAGTCTATGAACAGAAGAGAGAAAGGATAATAAGGAAGCTTGACAGATTAGAGAAATGAGCTCAAAACAATGGAATGAAATTGAAGAGACTAGTGCAAAATATTTTATTTAGGAAAAAAATAGGTGTACAATATAAAAGTATATATGCATGAAGGGAGATGCCTGCACAAAACTAAGCCTTCCATACAGCTTCACATTGTGTTGTAATGATAGCCTAGCAGAAATTTTTTTATGTTTGATATCCTTGGCCTGACTTGTTCACTATATTGATTTTATATGCTTATTTTCATATTGAAATGTAGTTTTTATCTATTACGTTTGTACACTGCCCAGTGTCATGATTTTGAGAGATAGGCAGTATATGCTAAATAAATAGT